ACATCTCGAGCATCGACAACATCCTTAAAGAATGCCGACGTCTCGAACAAGCTAAAGCCCGCCGTGTAGCCCAAAACATCGTGCGCCTTCCGAACACAGCGGCCACCTCTTCGTGTGACGACGTCTTCCACCAGGCCCCTCCATGTGACAACCTCACACGCATCATTCGTCGAGAGGTCGAGGCAGCACAACCGGTAGCCACGCCACTACCGACGCCTACGCCTTCCCCGACCACGATTTCTTTGATACAAGCCGTCGTTCGTCAAGAGCTATCGAATGTCGGCCTACATCCTGTACCTGCCGTATACTCTGCTGCGCCTTCTTTTCGTCCCCCTTCTGCTCCTCGCATACAACGCAATCCGTCCGAATGGCGTACCCTTGATGACAGGCCCATATGTTTCAACTGTCGACGCGTTGGTCATATCGCACGTCACTGCCGCAACCGCTAGGCTCCACCGTCCCATTATGTACCTCAGTATTACACCACTTCTGCTCGCGAATCGTCCCCATCACTTTCTCCATCAACGCCGACCACATTTTCCGCTCCTACAGCACCTCTCAGCAGACCTCGCTACGACCGGTCACTGTCCCCTGCTCGTCGTCAGTCCCGGTCGACCCCACAACGCCGTGCTGCCTCCCCGACCTATTCGCAGCATCTTTGACCGGAAAACTAGGCCGTGCAGCTTCTGGAGGTGGAGCTGCGTTGACGACCTTCGTAAGAAATCCTCGATTAACGTTAACAACGAACCGGAACCTTTTGGACGTTACTGTCGACAATGTTCGTGTCAGTGCGTTGATAGATACTGGCGCGCATGTGTCCATTATGAGTGCTAACCTTCGCCGCCGACTTAGAAAAGTTGTCCCGCCCGCCCTCAACCGAGCTGTACGAGTCGCCGATGGAGGAACTGCCGCAATTCTTGGCATGTGCTCTGCGCGAGTGTCTATTGGGGAGAGAAGCACTTTCGTTCTTTTCGCCGTTATCGAACATTGCCCTCATGAACTCATTCTCGGTATGGATTTTCTAGCCACGCACTCTGCCCTCATAGACTGTTCAGCTGGCTCTCTCCATCTCGATTTACCCCTCTTTTCCGACCCGCCTAGCCCACCGCAAACCAGCCTCTGCTGCATTGATTTCACGCGTATCCCTCCTAACTCCGTCACACATGTCGACTTATCCTCCACGCCGCCAGTACCTGATGGTGATTACATGGTGGCCCCGATTCCTGCAGTGATGCTTACGCATGGGGTTGCTGTGCCGCATATGATTCTGACGATTAAGAGAAACCGCACCTTCCTTCCACTGGTCAACTTTTCACGTTCTGCCACAGGGTATCTCCCTGGCCAAAATTACTGCTCTCCAAGATGACCATGTCGAGCCCTTCAGAGTTGACGATTGCTGCAGCTCAGTCAGTGGTTCCACTCCATCACGTTCTTGGGGTGCCGACATTGAGCGAATGGTGTCATCGGACCTCACGTCTGAGCAAGCTTCAGCGCTTTGCCACGTTCTTGAGGGCTATCGTAGCATTTTCGACTTTGCCAGCAACTCTTTAGGCCAAACGACCATTGTCACCCATCGCATAAATACTGGCCATGCAACCCCCATTCACCGACGCCCCTACCGTGTGTCGGCGTCGGAGCGTGCAATATTACAACATGAAGTCGGCAAAATGCTTGCGAAAAACATTATCGAGCCTCCATGCAGCCCCTGGGCTTCTCCAGTCGTCCTTGTTAAAAAGAAAGATGGAACATGGCGCTTTTGTGTCGATTACCGTCACCTTAACAAAATTACCAAAAAAGACGTTTATCCTTTACCTCGCATCGACGACGCCCTCGACTGTCTGTACGGTGCCACCTATTTTTCAACTATTGACCTTCGGTCAGGGTACTGGCAGATAGCCGTCGACGAGATGGACCGCGAGAAGACCGCATTCATCACTCCTGATGGTCTTTATCAGTTTAAGGTGATGCCCTTTGGACTCTGCAATGCACCAGCCACATTTGAAAGAATGATGGACTCATTGCTCCAAGGGTTGAAATGGTCCACCTGCTTGTGTTACCTTGACGATGTTATTGTCTTTTCGCCCACATTCTACTCGCATCTTGATCGTTTGTCAGCTATTTTGGACGTTTTTCGTCGAGCTGGACTCCAGCTTAACGCCTCCAAGTGCCACTTCGCTCGTCGCCAAATTTCCGTGCTTGGTCACCTTGTCGATGCCCAAGGCGTGCGTCCAGACCCAGAGAAAATTCGTGCAGTCACGAACTTTCCCGTTCCGAGGACCACAAAGGATGTCCGCAGTTTTGTGGGGTTGTGCTCGTATTTCAGACGCTTTGTTAAGGACTTTGCGACCATTGCACGCCCACTCACAGACCTCTTGAAGAAAGACGCCTCATTTATCTGGGGCCATGATCAAGCGTCATCGTTTTCGCAACTTACGACACTGCTTACAACGCCACCAATCTTGGCTCACTTTGATCCATTAGCCCCAACCGAGGTTCACACGGACGCCAGTGGACACGGCATAGGAGCTGTGCTATTGCAGCAATAACACGGACACGGCCGTGTTATAGCCTACGCAAGTCGACTACTATCTCCAGCCGAGCGCAACTATTCCATCACGGAGCGCGAGTGCCTCGCCCTTGTATGGGCAGTCGCCAAGTTTCGCCCATACCTGTACGGGCGCTCATTCCGTGTTGTCACGGATCATCACGCGCTCTGCTGGCTAGCCTCCCTGAAGGACCCCACGGGACGTCTCGCTCGTTGGGCTCTACGCCTTCAAGAGTACACGTTCTCTGTAATGTACAAAACAGGGCGATTACATCAGGATGCGGATTGTTTATCCCGCTACCCTGTTGACGAAGCAACCGATACCGACGCTATCACGGACGTTTTTTCCGTGTTGCAGCTGTTAAACATTGGCGAAGAGCAACGTCGGGATGCTTCTTTACGAGCCATCATTGACAAACTGGAGTCAACGCCACGCGACCCGTCCCTACGAATGTTTTTGGTGAAAGACGGGATCCTATATCACCGAAACCTTGATTCCTTCGGATCAGACTTACTTCCTGTCATCCCAGCGCACCTGGGTTCCTCTGTCCTGCATCAACTCCATGACGCTCCCATAACGGGCCATTTGGGCGTTTCTCGCACGTACGATTGAGTACGACGTCGGTTTTTTTGGCCTGGACTTGCCCGCTCTGTTCAACGCTATGTCGCCACTTGCGAGCCCTGTCAGCGTCGCAAAACGCCGTCTGCCCTCCCAGCCGGCTACCTTCAGCCGATAGACGTTCCCAACGAGCCTTTCTTTCGAGTTGGTCTCGACCTGTTGGGCCCTTTTCCATTCTCCACAGCCGGAAATAAATGGATTGCTGTTGCCACGGACTACGCGACGCGGTACGCAATCACACGAGCACTCCCGACCAGCTGCGCTACCGACGTTGCGGACTTTCTGTTGTACGACATATTATTAGTGCACGGTGCTCCCCGTCAACTTCTGACCGACCGTGGCCGCACGTTCTTATCAGCTGTCGTTCATGAAATCCTGAGGTCTTGTCATACCAAGCACAAATTTACTACGTCGTACCATCCCCAGTCAAATGGCCTCACGGAGCGCCTTAACAGGACCCTAACCGATATGCTTGCCAAACACGTTGCGCCAGACCACCACGATTGGGACATTCATTTGCCGTATGTGACGTTCGCCTACAACTCATCTCGTCACAACACTGCCGGATATTCGCCCTTCTATCTACTATATGGCCGGGACCCAACTCTACCTTTAGACACGTTACTACCTGCGGCCACTGAATATGCTGGTGAAGCCATTGCCCGCGCCGACCACGCGCGCCAAGTCGCCCGTAACCGTCTACAGGCTTCACAGGCGCGCCAACAACAGCTCTACAATTCTCACCATAGGGACGTGCACTTTTCTCCGGGTTTTCTCGTGCTCCTCTGGTCACCTACTCGACGTGTGGGACTGTCGGAGAAACTGTTGTCGCCCTACACTGGACCATTCCGTATCATTCGCCAAGTGACAGACGTTACGTACGAGATTGTTCCAACTGATCCAACAAAGTCATCGTCAGCTCCGAGCGACATTGTTCACGTGGCTCGGCTAAAGCCCTATTACCCCCCTTCGACATCATCTGCGTAAATTTAGCACCGGGACGGTGCTTCTAGCGCCGGGGGTTATGATACAAAACAGCCGCTAAACACGGCTGCATGAAAGAGGAGGACGAAGTGGGTTTTTCCGTTGGATGCTGGTCTGGCGCCATCTTACTCGTCGAGTTCTATGCGCTGTAAATAGATCTATAAACAAGTTACTCGTAACAATATATTGGAAATTTCGCGACTATGGTCCGCTAGCTGAAGTGAATGCGAGACACCTGCTCTACGCGCACTGCACCTCTGTGGTCCTGTTTGGGCGGCTACTTATCAGCATTCTCTCTCGGCTCTGTCCGGGTATCTCTACTGGTTCGTCTTTAAAGGACGCAGCCATACAGTCCAGGGCAATGAAGCTGAACTTTTCTAAGCGCGTTCGGTCGAGAGATAGTGAGAGAAAAATTGACCTTAAGCAGCTTATAGAAATAACCAAGAGGGGGTAGTCTGATTGGTGGCTAAAATTAAGGCAGAATAGAACATGGTATTTCACCTCATACAGTATGCTTCATTATTATTAAGAGTGCATATTAGTGCAAACGACGTGAGGGTACTACAGTTGAGAAGATACACAGTGCTCAGTGTACCCTGGAGTATGTCGTACTCTTAATCATGTTGCCCCATTACGGCTAATCCTGCAGTCTTCTAAACTTCATTATGAGTTATGGGACCGGATCAAAGGGACACAGCCCCGCTCATGCAACCCTCAATCAATCTATCAGTGGAGCCCGACTTACCGGTGCGCCTGCCGGGAACAGTCCTGCTCGGGTGCGGTGCACGGTGGCTCTGGGGTGGGCAGCGGGTCCCAGGTCGTAGGAGGGGTGGGGTGCGGGAGGGTGCTCACGAGGATTGCTGCGTGGTGGTAGGGGCGTAGGACGGGGTGAACGGGGACGCCGTGACCTTGGTGCCGAGCCTGGACAGTCGTGGCTCCAGACAAAGGCTCAGCCGGTACAGCTCTTCGTCGGGCATCAACCGCGCCGGGTCCAGCAGGTAGTTGAACACCTGCAGCCAGCAAGTTCCAGTTCAGCACGGAGTGCCCTTGCAAGCACCAGCTACAACTTCGTCTCTCTTGAGTCACTTAGTTTTCCCGTGTGAGCGTGCGTGGGTATGCACAGGACCCACGGTGCCCAAGCTTACCTTTGGAATCATCTCAATCTTGTACGGAGTTTGCTGGAAATGGCGAATCTCCCGGATCACATGAGCAATCTGCAAATGATTGCATTCACGTTGAACTCAGTTTGAAACAAAACGTATTCGCGTAGGGCTCAAACGTTGAGGATACAAATATCGAGTATGCCAGAACAAAAAAGCTGGAGTCGCGGCCTTGAAGAAAAGTCTAGAAGAAGAGTTATCGCAGTTATCGCAGTTGCAGCCTTGAAGAAGAGTCTTGAAGAAAAGTTATCGCAGTTGCAACCTCGAAGAAGAGTTATCAAAACGTCGGCTCCAGCGCGCAACCCTGTTTAAGAATTTTTCGGAGTAAGGTATAGAGATATGCGAAATGAGGCATTGCAATGAGATTATCCGTTGGTATACCAGTTCCTTGTGCATATTTCATTCGAGTTCCTGTCTAACGACAGTGATTTTGCCGACAGTTTAAGCGTTACGACTAAGGGTACGCGAGTCTTGCAAACATAGTTCGATACGCAACCGTATACGCAATAAAGTGTACAAGGGGTCGAGGCAAGAGGCCTCGGGGATAGCGTACCATTCTCATCTTGGAGAAGTTGAGCAGTCCTTCCTCGGTGAAGTTTGGCGTGCCCTCCTCGATGAAGGAGAGGTCGGTGAGGTACATGCCCAGGTACGGAATGCAGGGCGGGTCGCAGCGGTGAAGGGCGTCGCGCATGTTGCGGAACCGCCCGTCAGCCGACACCAGTGCCTGCAGCTTGTCGATCGTCTGCTTCGTCTGCACACAATACACGCGGGATGAGAGGAGCTGCGACCCGGGTGCGCGCGCGAGGGCTCACCGTCTTTGAGACCTTCTCCCAGGTTTTTTTGAGGCGGAACACCGAGCTGTTCATGAAGGCCGCGCAGATTTGGAGCACACCGTTGAAATTGTGCAGGCAGCGGCAGATGTCGGCGACGGCGGACCACTTGTCGATGATGGTCACTCGCTTGGACATCTCCGGACAGCGCATAATTTCCGACACCACCAAACGACTCACCTGCGTCGACAGTGGGCACAAACACGGTTATCAGTTCGGCGCATCTCTGTGCATGATATCCGGAAACGAAAAGAGGCTAACCGTTTTAAATTAAAATTTAGGATGCTACTTGCCCAAACTATGATATGATTATCAGGCACGCCGTAATAGGATTTATTTTGACCATCGGGCGTTCATTAATAACGTGCGCCTTAAGTACGCATGTTCTTGCACTTCGGCCCCGTCGAAACAAGCCTGCCATAACCAGCAAACGAACCCGTGTCATCGAGGTGAGTGGCGCACTAGATGCTTAGCCATCACGATGGATAGCTCATATGTGAGAATAGTTAGTTTATATTCGTGTAAGAGTTAGACGTAAGCGCATTCCCGGGGCCCAGTAATATAGTGTCACGTACCCCTGACTATTTAGCATTGTCATAGCAATTAAGAACGGTGATTCAAGGACACTTACAAACTTGTTGGCGTTGGAAAGCACGAAAAGTGAGCCTGAATAGTTTATGGGCCACGAGACAGACAGTAAGAAAAGCTGAATATTCTTGCTGCTTCGACAAGGCAGCTTTAAATTTAACACTTCTAGCCTGTTTTAAAACACGCTACCAGCATGCATAATGTGTGGTTCGGCCGAATACGGTCACAAACAGCTGAACAATTCTGAGTGTTCTCAGACCTAGTGGTCTCTGAAACATTCTGGCTGTATAAGTGGTCCTCGCATTTTGCTTTGTGGCATTTCAGTATATTTTCATGATTTTTTATCTAACTTGTGATAAAGGAAGGCGGATCTTGCAGAAACAAAGTGTGAGGTTTTAGGTGCCAGATTCACTATCTTATGATTGGATACACCGGATAACCACTTGGTAAGTTCTCCAATGTATCTGAATTCATGGACGTACCCGTGCGCATGCTCGTTCGGGAGAAGATGCAAGATTTGATTGCTTGTCAAATCAGGATATCTTGACTATGCCAGAAGCTGTCACTCGAAAAACCGTGACAAGAAGACACATATGAACTAACTCTCTATACACATACAGAAAACTCACATCATTGAACCGTCTTGTCATAAGAAGAATATGCGGAGCCTTGGTTGCCTTCTCGGGCTTCATCCAGGCTTGACCTAGGAACTCCCTGTGTTCAAGAGACATCATTTTGGAATCGGGCTCGACAATATAGCGCAACAAAACTCAAAACACCGTCACGAAGTGTTGCGTGTGGTACTCACTCGCTGCGTATCGCGATGAATATCTTGTGGTCGAGGTAGGTCATACCTTCGGCAATCTCAAGTGCCGACAAGGACTCCACTGTCTCTTTACTTGGTGTCTGCAGTGAATGTAGTAAGGACGTGAACAATCTCCTATAATTTAATGCCACGTCCATTTGAATGAAATGCCAATCATTACCGCTATCTTGAATAATGTCTTTCCTTTGAGGACACAAAAGTTAAACAATGGATAGGTTTGGACTCGTACTCTAATTTCTCAATCATAGATTTACTATTAAAAGAAAAAAATATGGTCAAGGTTCTATTTTTAAGTATTGCGTCTAAATCTCTGCGTGCAACTTCGCCGATTTCAAAGTGTCGTATTTTTGTGACATTGGCTAAGCGAAATCTCTCGGAGATTGATACGTTTAATTTATGGCTCCATGTGAGGTCAATGTACTTAATTTTTTTTGCTGATTAAAAACTATCGAGGTTCTAGTGGACGGTGTCCGAATATATGACGTCACGACATTTGATGTGGAACTTTTAAGAAGGCATCACCACCAGCATTTTTTGTTGCGCGTTATCTGATAAAAGTCTGTTTCGCCGCAAGGACGAAGCAACGAATGCGATAGCGACAACTTGAAATGTAACGCTGAGAACGGCAAGCAGATCGAAACGTGCAGCGCGCTGCTCACGCACTAATGACGCACGAAAACAACATACACAGGATGAGAGTAAACTAACGACGATTACCGCTCGGCACTTAACATGCTGTTTAAACGAAAACGACGCAAGAAACGTAATCACAAGTACAAATGAGTGCAAACTAACAAGTGTCCCAGTTATTATGTTTCGCTGTGTATGAAGAGCGCGCTCTTTTCGCAAACGGGGCCTGTGCAGCGAGCGAATTGACTTTTGTGGGCCCAGCAACCAGCGGAATCGTTCCGGTGAAAGACGAAGACACACGATTTTACCCGTCGAAGGATAAGCGCGTGTGCGCAAACATCTACTCCCCCTCCCCCCACCGGGCAAAGTACGCGTGGGAGATGAACGCGCGTCGGCGCATCGTGACGAGTTGGGTGCCGAGCGCAGGCGGTTTTTTTTTTCTTTTTCTTGAGTTTCCATATGTATAGGTATGTATACATATACGGTGAATGACGGTGGCGGCTACGGCAAAAAACAAAAAAATAAACAGCCTAGAATGTCTATATTTGCTATCGGAACTAAAAATGTTCTTAGTGTCCGTCTTTGGTCATCTTTTGGACACAATGCTAACATCGTTTTGCCAACATGACCTGCCTACTGATTGTTTCGAACATTCGAAACGGGAACATCAGGGCCGCGGGGATAGTCCCGTAAATGTCACAACTGCGTGCATTATGGTGCCTCACGCATTGCCATATTATTAGCCTGGATTGAGACATACCATATGAGGAGCCAAGAGGATGTCGAGGTCTACTTTCGTCTTGTCCTGATCCTGCTTGGAGATCATGTGCAAGAGCTGGGCGGCCGCCTTGTGTTCAGCTGGGAGGAGGTTTGAGTTGTGAACGAGCTCCTCCAGGAACTCGGTTGTCAACTGCAGCAGCTTTGGGTCGTTCTCGAAATCCTGCAGCGTCACGGAAGCCCAGAAGCGCAGCACACACATCTGTATTGTTTGGTCTTACTGTATCATGTTGTAGCAAGGGATAAAAATTCTTGAACATTGCGCGTAGCGAGAGGAGATTTTTCGTTTGTTTTTTCTTCAAAAACAATGGCACGTGCCTACTGTGAGGGATATATAGGCGATGTTTCGACTAGTGGTTCTCTCTTCTTCGCGGTCTTTTTCATCAAGGGGTTGCAGCCCGAACACCTGCCTTTATTGCATCTAAAAATTTACCATTATATTTAGTCCTTTCTTCGTCATCCACATTTTAAATGCCAAAAATTTCGGCTTACGAGTGTACCAACCTTTGCGATCATGATCGTACGAGTAGGTCAGTGTAGTGTCGCAACTGTTCGATTGCGTACGCGACTAAAGAATGCGCATGAAATGGACATTGCGTATATATGCTAGATAACACTTTCCCCATCTTCACGCACCTGGGAGTGTTTGGAGACCCAGTGGCGTAGCACGTTGAGCACTCGCATGGTGGCCGCTGTGCTGATCATTGACTCGCGCTTGGCGCGCAGAGCTGCCGGCCCGGGGCCCACGGCGGCCCCGCCAGCTGCTCCTGCAAGACCAAGCCATCGCAGGTATAAGTACCAGTTGGTGAAGAGCATTGTGAGCGGCTTTGCGATGCAAGCGGGTGCTCGGGAGAAATGTAGATTTCTGCCTGCGTAAGGCAGTGACTTCGCTTTGGCACACTCTTACTACACTTCAGTCAGCAGTGCAGCCGGCTCAGCGCGCCGCCAGGTACCTCGCCATGGCAGTGCCGCTGGCCGTGAAAACTATCGCGAAACGAAGCTGTGATGACGATGATGATGATGATGACTTTCGGTGAAAGAAACAACAATAATAATAATAATAATAATAATTTTGTGCATCATCATCATAGCTTCGTTTATTGTTCACTCCTATGCCTCTGATCAAGTGGTCTGCGTGACTCCTCCTCCTCCTCCTCCTCATATTTCTGCAATGCTACCATTACAACAAGAATTTACTGCTTACAACCAATACTAACATAGAATTGGCATTTGGGCCAGTTGAAATTGGTTATACATCTTGGAAATACGCAGTGGAAAAGCGAGGACACCGGAAGAACGAAGACCCGAGCCGTTGTAAGGTGTGGTGTACTTCTCATGTACTCGTTTTTGCGCTGTCCGTTTCAAAGATTCACTTAAACAACAAGAACAACAAAACAAAAACAACAACAAAAACAACTATACTACTACTACTACTACTACTACTACTACTACTACTACTACTACTACTACTACTACTACTACTACTACTACTACTACTACTACGATGACAACGGCAAGAGCTAAACTAGGACAGCTTCGCTGTAGAACGACAAATGGTGCCGCTAATGCTTTCTTTGTCTTCAGTGTCCGTTGACAAGAGAAACGATAAATTACGATTTAGAAAAACAGATTCCTCTATCCACGCTCATCATTCATTTCACGTTGAAGTCACATGTATATTCCCAATTTCGTGCACAGGATCGTGGACAGCTGCAGAGAGGATGGCCATGGGGACTCACCGGGTATCTTGAGGTCCGCGCCGACCGCGCTGGGCAGGCGGCTCCCGGCCCTGCTGGCCGGTTGCGAGCCCGGCGGCACGGCGCCTCCGCCCGCTGCGGCGGCAGCCGCGGCCACCAACGGCTCCGGAGGATTCGAGGAGCCCGCGGTGGCCACGGCAAACGCGGCGGCCGCGCTGGCCGTCGACGAACGTCGCGTAGAGGCCCGGGACGAGGTGACCACCACGCCCGCCTTGCTGCTGTGTTGCGGCGAGTCGGGGTACTGGAAGCTGGATCGGGGTGTCGACAGGATCGTCGACTCGGTCTGGAAGCTCGAGCGAGGCGTCACCGAGACGCTCGAGCTCTCCGTATCGCTGCTGCCCCGCTTGCCCTGGGCTGCACGGGCGCAACGCAATCGGCTTGCTTGGTGCACAGAACCGCGTAGCACCAAAGTCTCGACTATGCCAGCGGAACGAGTAGGATGTGGCCTACCTGAATATTGCTCCACGTAAACACCACCTTTAACTATAAGATCATCGTCAAGTTATGTTACGGAGAAAATTGCACGCAATGCCATACGTCTTTTTCGATTGCGAACACTGCGTTCACTGTCAGTTGCACTCGTGCCAGCAGGCAGTTCGTACATGGAGATCGTTACAAAGATAACGTGCACGACTTGGCCTAAAGGTGAACATCAGGGTACCAACGCAGCGGATACTTTCTGGAAGAGGCGCTAGCAAAGAGAGAGAGAAAAGTAACGAAATGCGTTGAGGCTGAGCCCCGGTTTTCTGCCTGTATTGGGGGACAGATAAATGAGAAGAACTGGTTGAAGAAGGGTAAGGGAGACAGCAGTAGTGGCACACTGCGCGGGCAATTCCTATGAACTCACCGCCGCGCACACGCAGATAGTTCATGACGTTTGGCGCGGACTGGCTCGAGGTCATTGGCGGCGGCAGCCCCCGGGCCGCAGGTCGGACGTCGGTCGGGGGCGGCGCGGCACGGGCCGGTGAACCCGTGCACACTGCCGACGTCGCCGCCGAAGGTGGCGGAGTCGGCGGCACCACGGGTTGCACAACCGGTGGGGCTGTCGTCGCAGCTGCGGGGGGCGTCGGGGGCGGGGTCTCGTCGTGGGCACTCTGCACGCTGTCTTGCGTCGGAAGCCGAACGGGCGCACTCTTCCTGCACGTCGCCGAGCATAGACAGGTCAAAGGGCATATAAAGACACATTTAGGCAAGAGTTGCAGGTGATGTCTACACATATAGACATGACCTATAGTTTATACGGAATGAGAATCATGCTCATAACTGGGCCTGACATGTTAGGCTAGGTCGAGGCGTTTTCTTTTACTGACATACTGCATGCCTGCGTAGAAGGCATGAACTATTTGAGCCCACTAACTGGAGGGGGGGAAATTAGGGCGCAGTCATCCAAAGGTTTTTTTTATTGTCTTCTCTCAACATCAAGTAATCTGTGATAGAAACATACGCTTTGTTCTTAGTAAGACATAACTGCAACTGTTACGGCGAATATAACCTTCACGTGTGCCTTGAAAAATATTTTCCCGGCCGTTTTAAAGGGCTGAAATCCACTTTACTGTCTCGTTTTGCTGTACGTATCTCTCTTTTTTTAAATGTTGGTACAAGTGTATTTATTCAGCAGTCTTTCCATCTGGTTGTTCGTGTTCCACGTAGAGGTGTGACTTCTCAAGGTGTTATTAGTATGGTTTTATTTTTTTCTTCTTTTTTTGAAACTTGGAAGTTTTATTGCTTTTATCAGTCCATCATTCAGATGCTGAGAGCCGGGGTCCGAAAGCCTCTGAACGGGCTTGACTTGGATGACGATCCAGTGAAACACGACATGGATAGGAAAACCCTTAGGTCATTAAAACAATGTATGGAGCTAAAAACAACGAATTTTGTTCCAAATTAATAGAATATAAACAGTAAAATAGCTGAAAGAGAGAGAGAAAGAGAGAGAGATAAAATAAGGAGAAAGGCGGGGAAGTTAACCAGAGATGAGCCCGGTCGGCTACCCTGCACTGGCGAAGGGGAGAGGGGAAGGAAAGTTATAGAGGAGAAAGAAGTCACTGACTGGGCCTACGCGTAACAGTTTCACATCACAAACGATGACACAAAGCGGTGTCTGAGAAAACGCAACAGCGCTTTCGTTGCCTTTCGGAATCGGGATGGGCAGTGCCATGGTACCAATACTTTCTCGACAGTGAAATCACTTCTGTCCAGTTGATTTAAAAGACTGCGCAGGTGAAGCCTCTAGTTTGTGTATGCCGGGCAGTAACATAAGAGGTGTTCAATAGTCTCATCGATGTCGCAGTCGTTGCACTCCGCTTTGTCGGCCATCTCAATCGTAAATAAGTAGGCATTGGAGAAGGCTACGCCAAGACGCAGACGGCACAACACTGTACCTTCTTCTCTGAAAAGACCAGAGGATAGCCGCAGTCGTACAGATGAGTCGAAAGAATGCAGTCGATGATGAGCGAACTGTGATGACTGCCACTTCTGGGGTGTCATGTTCTGCCCCAGCTTACTTAGGTATAAAGCTGCGTAAATCCTAGATAAAGGTACGGAAACAGGGTTTGTACGCGTGCATTTCTGTCTGCTTCATCGGCGAGGTGTTCGCTGGAGATATCGCAATGACTTGCTATCCACTGGGACACAACGTTGTGTCCTTGTTCGGTCGCATAGTGCAGCACAGTGCAGCTCAATAAATTTTTAAAAAGTATGCAGTTTTTATCTTACCCTTCTTTTTATGTATGTTACGCACTTTAGGTAATAATAATATGAATTTAATGCAGTAAACTTATTGCTGGATACACTTTCATGGATTAGTGAGAGGCCAATGGTTTAACGCCTTTTCGCAGCGTTCTATCTCGTGTGCGCCGAAGGATGATGCGTTGCGGGTGGCATTGTCGCGTATACTGACCGGCTGGGGCTGGGCTTAGGGGACTCGTTGCTTCCCACGCTGCCAACGAGCGTGGCTGTGGACGCCGTCGAGCTGAGGTTTCCAGGTGTCGATGGGCAACTAGCGTCGGCACTCAGCGTGTCCGACGAGAGAGAAGCCTTCGGCGCCTCGAGCCGCGGCTGCTCCTGCTGGCTCGCCGATGGGCCGCCGTTGGTGCCCGTCAGGCTCCTGCAAGAGACAGTTACGGCCGGTATACATACAGCCGTGCTCTGGCAGAGCTAGAAGGTTGAGCTAATTAAAAAGAAAACATTTCAGACTTTTCCACATTAGTGCGAGGCTGAAAACGGGTCAGCACTTAACAAGGCAAAAATGTCCTTGTCTTGTTCAATGCCTGTCTGTTTTCAGCGCTGCAATAATTTGAAAAAGATACCAGAATACCAGACTCACCAATTGAATAAAGTTTACCTTCCGACTTCATTTTAATGATGCGCGAGCTTACTTAGTATTTGGGAGGTGACGACAATCTGCCTTTACTTGGGTCAAAGAGCGCCAAATACATTTTACATACACATGTCACTCGGTTCAAGCATCTCGTAGCAACTCAATGTAGCGGTATGTAAGAGTCACGCGAAAACTGCTCATTGGAAATTGTGTTGTACTTGGATATGATCTCTCCAAAGCGAGAAGAGAGCAGAGCTTCGCGTGCTAGGCTTCAATAATGCGAGCTACTTATACCCTTCATACACTTCTTAACTCCTAAGGTTAAGCTCATATACTTTGAGTCCCTGTTTCAACGGATTACTTTATTCAGTCAGTGATGAGACAAAACGGGAATGGTATGCTTCACCACAACTCACATGGGCATTCCTACTGCGGTGGCCGCGGCGACCACGCTGGTCTCGTGCAGCTGCATGAGGTGGCCGAAGAAGCCGGAGTCTTCGGGCGGTGCCAGCGTGGCCCCTTGTAGCGGTGCGGCGTTAGGCGCTGGCAGTATGTGCACTAGGCCACCCGTGGCCGGCTCGGGGGTGGGCGGGGGAGGCGGCAGGATGGGCTCCGGGCTGGGCGACACGACTTCGCGGATCCGCTTCAGCGTTTGCTCTTTCAGCTGCTCCTCTTCGACTGCGGCGTGACGACGATGCACACACTGCACTGTCTCATTCCCGCGCATTTACTCGCACAGAAGAGCCGAGCCGAATTACAAGTTATCTGTGCGTGAGGCTTTCCGGCGTGACCGTGAATGAGCATATTGTCGCCTCATAGCTGAACAGTTTGTCAAATGAAAGGCAATGATCGAACACAAATAATTAGGAGAGACTTGCAAAACATGAAAATACACAAAATTTGACGGAGTGGAGCAGGCTGCATTTTTTAAAGTTCAACATTCTCAAGGAGACTCTAATGCTGCCTATTTATTTGTCCGACGTTAAATAAAAAAAATCATTGGTTTGGTAAGAAGAAAACATTACAAAAGCACCAAGAGTTTCTACGAGTAGTTCACTTCTGGTGGCATGAGCTACAAGTCTGCCATCTGAATTCACAAGCCGAAGCACCCTAATCTACTGTGCCCTAATCTAACGGGTTCACTACAAGACAAGAACGTACGGAAAAATAATCAGAATTCGCAGAACGCTGTAACGTAGGGCCACAATGAACGCACAAAAACAAGGAGACGCTTTAAAGGGCCACAAGAGACGATGGTGTTTGCGTTCTCGGTTCTCATGCGACCGTGTTTACACACTTTACTCCCCCCCCCCCCCCCCGACGAATCCATGTGTTTAAAGTCTCGTGGTCGTGGAGGAGTATAGAAGTATGAGAAGTGGGTAGAGTGGCTTAATAAAATACGTTTACTCGTTGGTTCACACTGTGCAAAAGGTACTAACATAAGGCGTAACGAAGAGATGCATGCTCTTTCCTGCACCTGTTATGTGTTCGCCTTGTGTTGCGTTATTACCTTTTGCACAGCATAAAGTGACTCTGAAAGGAGAAAGATTGCTGTAAGTGATCACTCTAAAATCACTCATTGTTCCCAAATCATAATTTGCATCTGTCGATTGTTCACTCTAAATTAACTCATTAGTCATACAAACTGCACGTGTCAATCCTTCGAAACTTACTCGTTTGTCGGCCCCCGTACGCGGGATAGGTGTGAGCCGAGGAAGGAGCACGTAATTATCATCATAATCGTTGTCGTCATTGTCGTCATCGCACCTTCGTGCACACCTCAAACGCGGTCATGAATCAGGTGACAAAATCAGACGAGCCGTGCGCCACGAGCGGTGGATAAAATACGCACACTTTCGGTAGCTGAGTCTCCAGTGCTGCTGGCTTCGCGAGACCTGCTGCACGACTTGCTGCATGTGGTCGGGGGCGCTGTGGCCCTGCTGAGCGTCGCCTGCCTCCGAGAGCATGCTGGTCGTGCTGATGCGCCGCGAGTAATCGTACTCCACCACCAGCATTCCCATGTCCCGGTCTTGCCCGGCGCCGGGGGCTCCGCCGGTGGCGCCTGCCTGACCAACGGCCGCCCCTCCTGAAGGCGCGCCGCCGCCATCGACACCGACTGCGTCCAAGGACCTGCGACCGCGACCAGAGTATAAATCTCGAATAGCGCACTCCTCGAGCCACTCTGGCGACCTACAGCGACACTATCCTCGCACTTCGAAAGTGGCGCGCGCTTTTACTACAATCCGTGGCCTCCCATAACGGCTTATCGGCTATGAAGTCCCGCTGCCAGTGCCGTAAGCGGAAGTTTGTTTCGGGGGGAAAGAGGGTGAGAGGCACGCCCTTGAGCCGGCATAGCGTACGGGCAGGTAAGTGTGGTCGAGTGTCATTCTGTGCTCCGTATCCCATGGGAGGGGAAAAATATTCGGGGTGAGGAGGTGAGGCATGGGTCCTCCTTGGCTACGTCGCTGTTTGCTGCTGAGTAAAAAAGGTAGGGTTTCAATGTTTCGTCACAGTGACCACATACCAATAAGCTAACATGCAAGAAATGTCCGTGTACTTGGATTTAGGCACGCGTCTAAGAACAACGAGTGGTCATGACTGATCCGCTGTATCCCACCTACTTCGTCATTGCATGGTGAATCGGCAGGTAAATCTTCATTGTTTTATTTAAATATTAAAGAAAATAGTAATTGCGCGCTCGTATCTAATTATTTTGTAATACTGAAATGATGGGCAGAAGTTTGACGTAGAAAACAAGGTGAAGAATAAGCGCACGAACAAAGCTTCCTGGAGTGCACATTGGGGGGAGGGAGGTCGCACTCACCCAGTTGAGTCCTGAAGTGCGGCACCCATCGCGTTGATCTGCAGGTCCGGGTTGTAGTGGACCTTCTTGAGCGCCTCGAGCACCTTGACACCGTCGGTGAACACTCGGTACGTGAGCAAGAACGTATTCAGGAAGTCGATGCTCAGGAAGCGCAGGTCCGTCAGCCGCTCGAAAAGACGCTCGGGGCTCGCATAACGGATCTGCACACGCGGGTCATTGAACGGGCAGTATACATGCGCGATTAATGCACCGGACAATGTGGTACGCGGTGTGGGTAGAGGGGGCAATCACTTATTTACCTGGGGCAGCTTGCAGGAGTTGAGTGTGCGACTGAATCGGATGTCCACGTCGTCCTTGAACAGCCTGGGGTCGTTCCTGTTGCACGAAGAAATGGAGTACGTTAATCACTCCGGCTTTGCATTATTCATCGTAGCTACATATGGTGCGATGAGGAGTAGGAATAGCTAAAGAAGTGTAAAGCGATACACAACTGAAAGATAATACGTCTATACGTCTACCCCCCCCCCCCCCCCCCCCCCCCCCCCGAAAAAAAGTGATTTCCACTTCAATAATTACCTACATCTTCGGCTCCAGAGCATCTCTGTGTTATACACGTATTTAGGGGTTTAATTTAGGAAACTATGGCTAGATAACTGAGTTTCTGTTTTAAATATTTTTCTGCTGGATAACTGTCTCGAAGTTAATCGTTTTATGAAGTAACAATCTCCATTCTCTTTTCTGAATAAATAAATTTAATAAGCTGTAAAAAGTAAATAGGAAGCAATATACTGAATCTAATGGGCTAAACAATTAAAATTTTTAAAAATAATTTATGGCAATGAAGGTTTACCAAAATGAGTGCCAACATCGTTACCAAAGAGGTAGCGTCTCGGAAATTAAATAACTACTTAACTGCACATTTTTTTCTCTGAACATGGCGAAAGTCATGTGTTAGCTTTTTTTTTATTTTGAAGTGCAGCGTGCCAGTATCACTTGGTGCATAATTTTTCTTCCGGCCCTCCTAACTGAACTCCCTAGTCCATGTTTTTTCATTGTTTAAGTTACGAGTTTGCTATGAAAAATATTCTCAAGTATCATACACTATAACATGATGATAATTTGTGCTCAAGTGCTGTGTTTAACTTCAAAGTGGTCGCACGCTTTTATCATACTGTTAAGATAATAATTGCACTGTCATTCCCTAACCTACGCATTGTCTGTGTTTTTGATATAAATGCTCAGATGATTATATTTTTTTCACTTCATGTCTCATCAAGCCGATACAATAAAGTGCAAAGTATATTAAAAAAAACTGAGAACAGACATATGTTGGAGTTTAAAAAAGAAAACATTCTGCACTTCTTTATTTGCATCCCTCTCTCTCACTGCCCCTGCGTTGTTGAAAGCATGTAAGAAGCTGAAAAGTCATGCTTTTAAAAAGAGGAAGTCTGTTTGTAATTTTGCGTTATTGCGTTTGAGAAAATATACTGACCTGTCGCCAATAAGAGATGTGCAAAATTGCACTTTAAAAGAATTTAAAATATGCTCTTGAATATAATGGTATTATTGAGTCTTACTAGCGCATTTAAGTTTTTCTTTGTTTTCGCGTCGTAGTTTATATTAATGTGACTGTCGACAATTTTTTGTAGGCTACGTTATGTAGCGTTTTTAAAACATCATTGCGTGATGTGTGATAGATACGTGTGCTTGTTGACTATATTGTTCCGACTGGCACCCCTTGTCTTCACATGATAATTCGTATAAATTATGCCTGACTTCAGAAATGTATACGAGGAAACGCTGTTTCTGTATTTTTAAGGCGTCATAGTCTCACGATGTTCTTCAAGTTGTATACTGTATTCGTGGCGGATATTTAGTTTGGAAATTTTGGATCCTGTATGATACATGTTCGATGCCTTTAAGAGCTAAGATGTATCTGGCGCCTTATTTATGCGCCTATGTCTCTTTAACATCATGTCGAAAATCGTAAAATCAGCATTATAATTGATGTACCATCTCATTAAAAAGAACGAAGGGTGGAATGATGTCGATTAAACAAGACTTCTTTCGAGACATACGACATTTAGGCCAAAAAGAACTCTAACGGCTCTTTTGTTTGCGTCACGTACCTGATGGAATGTGGCATCGTGACCGACGAAGCGTCGCTCATCGTGCCGTGGAAGAGGTCGTTGAAATGCACATTGTCGATGCACTGCAATAAACGACGAAACAAGGGGAAGATTGCTTAACAGGAGCTATTATTGGACGTGCGACACAGTATACCTTACAATCATAATAAAAATTCACTCGGCTAAATATCTCCCGCTGAAGGTTGTAAGGAAGATATTTGTTCGAGGCATAAAAACATAGTGACATGCAGAGTTCAACCATTCAATAATTGTTTAGCATTGAAATCCCTGAAACGCTGATGGGACAACGTATTGCACTAATGTTGTCATTGCTACTGTGTCGCCACGTTGATGTGATCCGATATCACCCTGGAGTGGCAGCTCAACAATGTAATCTTTTGATCACTGCAGCTGGTGGTGGTCTTTGATTACTCCCAAAACTGGCGGGACCAGTAAGAATACAGGTTGCTCTGGCCTTGATGAGGTCGCAGGGTATCTGCATGTTTCCAACAAAGTTCTCCGACTGTGATGCATTAAGCAGTTGTGGTGGCGGCAGTGGTTATAACTGTCGCTCAAGGGAAGGCTGATGGTCTGTCGGAGTAGGAAATCGCGTTAACTGACCACGTTGCGCAGCAGTAGCCTTATACGGTCGTCGTCGACGCGAGCGTCGTCAATTTCTCACAATATAAGCCGCCTCTCCGTGCCTTTAGCCGTGACGTACCATCTGTTTTAATACACTGCGTTCTTTTTTAGTCTAATGAACAGTATTTTAATGATGAGTCGTACGAGCCATGGCAGTTAAGATATTTCAGGGCCCTTTCTTATGAGCTGCATATTCTTTGCAAATGGCTGCGGATGTCGGGTCGCTCTCAGCGCCACCACTGCACACTTTTAAAGAGCCAGTACGTAATGCTCCGCAATGTACGTCATCGTCCACAGATGATTTATATGATGATAACCGACAAGTTCTCGCTGTATTAAGGCCTCATGAGCACGATGCGCGCTCCCCTCAACGGAATGACAACTCCATCAGCTCAATGCGCACTGAAAGTTCTGGATTCCTTGGAGCCAGTTTTTGGAAGCCTTTTTTTTTGAACATCTTGGTTTCACGTCTACTTTCATTCAACCGGGGCGGAACTGGTCTAAAACACTTGCTGGTTGTGGTTGCCTGATTGTGCCTGGGGAACGTTGATATGTCATTCCGCGTAGCACTTTGTTTCATTTTTTTCTTCTTTAACTCTTTTCCTCCATTTTAACCCTCACCCAGTGTAGGGCAGAAAGTCGGGTTCAACATTCTTGCCTTTTCTTTGCCTCTCTCTCCCTCCTTCAAATATTACACATAAGTCGACTGCTAAGTTGGGCGCTATTAAACGCAAACTATTGAATATTGCTGGATAGGAGTTGATTGTTTTTATCGAGTAAACACACGTATTCAATCTGTAAATGAAATTTGATTGCTTTTGTATGATGAGAGCCGTCACACCGTAAGAGGGACACTAGTTTCAAACACAATACTTCAGAAAAATGTAAAGAGAAATAGCGTAGTGAGAGTGTTTTTTGCACTGGTGCTTTCTAGTTTGCTTATTAAGGTTCAGCCCATTTTTTCGAGCTTTCAACCAAGATGTACATATGCCGATTCATCATTCGCATTCTGCCTTGATGAAAGTGGTGAAACACTAGGTGGATATTCGAAAAAACAGCGCGAACAAGACCTGAATACAGATGGGATAAATCGTAGCGCTGACAAGCTAATGCATGTTTATTGGAGGGACGTTAATATTGCTTACGCCATTGCACCCATGATACCATTTTAGCGCAGAAGGGGACAAGGCACCATCCATCTTGATTGTGAAGATAATTGTAAAACGACGTGGCTGATCCCTCCTTTTAGTAATCAGTATAACGCGAAAGCGAAACGTGTCTTCCCATAGGTAGTTGAGCATTTATTGTCCATTGCTTCAGCAACAGAAAGAAATTGCAAAGTCGCGTGAAGAACGGCAAGTAGCTCAAAACTTGCAGCGCACACCTCAAACAGAAAGCACGCACGAAATCAGCATACACAGTACGATCGCGGACTAACGAATGTCATAGCTCGACCCTCAAAGCCCGCTGTTCGAACAGAACGAAAGACGCACGAAATGAGTGCACAAGCATACACAGGACGAGCGCGAACTGTCACAATTCTTACTTTGTTGTGTGTCAGCAGCGCAATTCTTTCGTAAATACGGTCGTGGCACCGAGCAAAATCATCTTCGTCGACTCCCGAATTACGAGTCGGATAAGCGCGCGCACAGGCGAGATCAAGCTTCGTGGAGGCGGCGCTCCATAGAGCCGGTGACCTTTAGAGCGCGCCCAACGCGAGCCCGTCGCGCCACCTCGCTGCTGATAACAAAAACACGTTTATGTTTTGGAGCTCTGAGCATTGCCAGATGATGTCGTTAGCATTATCGACAACGTAATCGCCTTGGCATAGTGGTTAGCACCGCGCGCTGCGAATCGAGTGGGTACTGGTTTGACGCCGCGCGACAGAATCATTAAGTCTCGTTTTTTTTTCCTTGCAATCTGTTAGCATATATTTTACATCGTCATATCCGTGACGGAAGTACGTCAGCGGAGTCGTAGTTGACCCTGGCACAAACTGTCGTGTTAAAAAAAATACCCCCTTTAGAGCCCAAGAAACAAAACATTAAGGTGCCAGGGCCCAGGAGCAGCATGTCAGGTGAATAACCAGGCTAACAGCTTTTGCTTTCTCTTAAGTAAGGTAGCTGACTGGGCTAGTTGGTTGTGCATACTTAAGCAGTGCTTTTTTTCGTGGTGTTAACCTTCAGTTTCAATTAAAACATTTTTCTCTCTCTCCAAGCAACATTGAGTTCCGGGTTGGGGCTGCGGTTTGTTCCTTCTGTGACCGTTTCGTGCTTGCGCTTGTTTTCGAATATGTACAAGAACTATCACTGACTGGCCCAGCTTTCGATTTTCTGCTATAACATTTTGTCTGTAGCACCAAGTTATTTCTTTTATTTCGTCATTTTTTCTTGTTCTTTTTTTTTGCTTTAACGTGGTGAACCTGACCTTGCTGACTTGAAGCGTCAACCTCGCTCCAGCTGCCTGTAGAGCGTGCTCTACTTTAGACTTTGCTGCAACAGGTGAAGCCTAACTCAAGCACTTCGGGAGCTAAGGTGAAAAAAAAAAAAATGCGGATTCACCAAACATTGGCAGCTAGCATCAGGCGAGTAAGCAACTATCAACTTTCACAGTGAAAAAAGAAAAAAAAGGCAACGTAATGGCCGTACATGCCCGTACGGAATATTTTTTGGTGTCATTCGTAAACGTGACAACTTGCTACTGACTTATATTGGCTGCTGAGTGTTGTGGGGCGCAGAACCCTTTAGGGACCAAGTACGTTCATGAATGACTACAGTGTAACTAAAAATGCATTGCACTACACTTTAGCGGTTGACAGACGGATTTGCATTGAGGGTAGGTCGTTGCTTTAACGGCGGATTCAACGGGTGAAACGAGACTTCTCTGGGGAATTTAGTGAAATGCACTCTTCGTTAACAAGAAGTGCGTGGACAACATTAACTTGATTACTGCTTATTTGGTTAACCTAATTACTTCATTGAATTACTTGACTATTGAAAAGAGGTGGAAAATGAACGCAAGGACGATGATGACAGAGGAAATACACCGCAACTCGAGGAGTGTGGAGCGCTTGATGGTTAACGTTATCCGAGTTTTCGTTCGTCATACACTTCCTATTGCAACAGCAACGTCACATCAAGTTGCAACATGTTACGCAAACAAAATAATTGTCTTCCTAAACAGACTTTTTTCACCTGTTTGTACAGTGCATTTTATTCAGACCTTTTTTTTTCTTTACAAAATGATTCCACTTTTGCCTATGGGGAATTTTGTTTTTTCATTTCCTAGTTGAAAAGCATCGCGGTGTTTTCAATTTTTACAAATCTGACTGCCGCTAATGTTGTTTCTATTTTCTGATTGTGACTGATGCTGTGTTGCTCTTTCACGTGTGGACACACCAATCAAACGAAGAATTCTACTCTGCTATTATGCTAGCATCCTGACCCCGGGCTTAATTCAACGTTTTCCTATTGCTCATGGCTTAGTTAGGTGCAGAAGCTTTGGCTGTAAAGCGATTCAATGCTCTGTCGTCAAGAAGCGCAACGCTAGCGCCGTATTTCGCGTAGGACTTTGGGTGTACGAGCACTGCACTCCATTTGCAAATTTCAGCCATGCCGGTCCAGTGCACCTCATTGGCTCGCTAGGGATAAGCCACTATTCGCTCCGCAGTGTGAATACTCGCCTGGCATTGCACCGGCCGAACATTGCACGCGATAACATCGGTGTAGCTTTCGCAGCAGCAACAGCGGTGCGGTGCGTGCTAGCTGTGTTTCACGCGATGGTCATACCGTACGCCAGCTGATGTACCGGCTGCCCTCGGGACCGAATTCCGCTTTCGCGCTCGGCGCACCCCTTGCACAAAAAAAAAAAAGCGCGAAGAGCGAGCGGGCGAAGGTGGTCGAAGCGTCGCTAGGCTTACTCGGACGGCGCACGATCGCCGCAGTTGACAACGGTAGCGGCGGCATGCGCGGGCACCGCCGGAGAACGCGGTGATTACGATACGCAGCACAATAAACATTGCCGTAGCGCGTGGTGGGTGATCGTCCATCACCTGGCTAATGTCGCTCGTCCAGGCCGCCTTCTCCTGCATGGTTGGAGCGACTAGCTGCACCGTCACCGGCGGCGCGGTCTTGAAGTCGACGATGATCTTGAAGTCGAGACCGCCATAGTCTTTCTGTTGCCCCGACCCGCCGCCGGATGTCGCCGTTGTCGTGGCGGTGGATTCGCCGCTGCTGCCGAGTCCGCTCGTCAGGCTGGATACCGAACTCACCGAGCCCTCTGCACCGGAAGTGACGAGGAGAGGTTTGGTGAGAAAGGGGAAGGGAAACAAACACAACAACAACAGCGGGACATTCTGACTGCCTCCCGCTTTTCCTCGGTCTGTTTTATTTTAGCGACGGCAAAGGGTGCGCTCTTTCGCGCGATGCGGTGCCTCTGTGTGTCTTCGTGAAATTAAGACGTATATCGACCGCGGATCGTGGGCTGGTCGATGGAATTATGCCGCCGCAAAGTCGGGAGCAAATGCGCTTTCTTGACAAGGAACAACTGAGTCGTTGCTTTCTTTAAAAGATGGCGTTTCAGTCATACGAAGATATCCAATCTGCAATGCGTATCGCTCATCACAAAAAAAAAAGAGGGGGGGGGGGCGCAGGAAAGCGGCTTATGTAGACAGATGAAAAGTCCTTGTTTTGTTTTACGCTACTTTTGAAGCCCGATGGGGTTTTCTTTCTGGCAAACGTAAACTTCAGTTTGGAATGGAAACAAGCTTGCCTTTATAATTTTATCTGAGGGTGTGCGCAAATGATGGCTCTTTGTTTTTTGTGTTTTTATCATTTTGCACTGAATGTCCTTAGTCCGTGCCGTCGTCGCCCATATCACCAATTAGAAGACCGGTATTTTTGTTGCTTATTATAGTTTATCTTTTTACACTCCTTTCTGCCCTCATTCTAGTAGGACCTTTTTTTCCCTTCTCTATTCCATACACTGCAGATTATCAAGTAAGAGAGCTTAATCGGGTTAACTGGTTTGCTTTTCAGTAAGAAGCTTTCTCTCTCTCTATCTCTCCCCTTTTTTGTTTAGAACAGCGTCAAACAAATGCATGCAGTCCTGCCTAACACCGACACTACAGAAATGAATCACCTGGAAGGTTGATTGATTTGAAATATTTATTAGTTTGGCTTCCATAGACATCTCGTAACTGATTTCCCAAGTACCAGGATACATTCTTAAAATATGACAAATGACTGGCCTATGCGCAGGTTCGGGACAGTTACAGCGCGTCTTAGTTGCGTTCAGTGGTACTGAAATTGTGCCAGCTGGCAATACTGACGAGTACTCTGTTCTTGCCTGTTTTAGTTGATCTATGCAGTAACACAGGCGCATGCAGCGAATAATTTGGGAGGCGCATTTAGTTCATCATGTACAACAGTGCAAGCGTTTATTTGCGTGAAAACCTATTTCTTCAATAATATATTGTGTTTAACGAACGTAGTTATGTCTGCGAATATTACTGTATACGCGGAAAATAAATTAATAATTTTTTTGAAAATTTTAGTGTTATATATATATATATATATATATATATATGCTCAAAGTATATACTAAAAAAGCTGTCAGTACTACTACTTCACCAAGTTAAACACTGTTGTGAAAGAATCCCAAAAATAATATAAGAAGCGTTGAAAAAGAATCACCGTTCAAATGACAGCTGTTATGAAGACTCACAACGCACAACGAAGTTCACAAATGGACTGTCTCTGGCTGTCGACCTTCCGAAGGTTAGTGCTCATCGCAGCACGGCGGAAAGCTTTTCTAGAGATAGTGAACCGGCTCCTAGCGGCAGGCTTTTTGGAGACTATCGTCGTCAGCGCTAGAGTGCTGACCAAATGACTCAAATAAAATTGCGCTGATATTTTTTTTGTCGTCTTAGCGCTCTTTTGTCGCGAGATTGCAATTGACTTTTTAAAGTGCCCGTCGTTTCGAGAGGTTCTAAAATCCATGCTACATGTACGGTAGCGTGAAAGGAGAAAAAAATGGGAGAGAGAAATATGCCAGGAATACGGTACCTTATACAGCCCTTGCACTAACTTAGTTATGGCGATGTAAGGGAAACGTCCATTCGAAATTTTTTGGTGTTTTTAAAAAAATAATTTTTCTACAGTGAGTTATACCTTCATTAATGCACAACATGCGAGAGTTCCTAGTGCGTAGGCTGCCAATACAGCGGTACGTATCCACTCTTTGCAATAATATATTATTCAAACCTCACACATACCGGGCAAAGTCTGTTCAGGAATAGTCAGTTGTGCAATCACTGTCGCGAAAACGACTCGGTAAGTCGCATGGGTGGCCGCTTTTGTGAGGAAATACAACCATCCCTTATTTCGTGAAAAAAAAAAACACGAAAAGGGCAGCAGCAGAAGGAAGGAATTGGGAAGAAAAATAATCGCCATAAATTTCGCAGTGTGGGCGCACGTGCTGTCATGACCGTTAATGCTTCGAATAAATCGGTTTTCAATGAGCGAGTAGAGTGTAAGAAAGTAAAAACTTAATAAAAACAGTTATTGTATATTGACTATGCGGGACACTACCCATTTTTTGGTTAGATTTCTGGCCGGTGGGTTTGTTTCGAGACATCGGACAGAAAAGAAAAATACCCCTTTTTTTTTCTTCTCCAAATTACGTTTTATTGCGATGCCCTCTTTATGTCGTTCAGAGACTAGGGGGTGTTTCCTAATGCTCCTGGGAAGAAGAACGTCTGTTTTCTGCGGTCTATAATGCGAAGCGGCCGCCGAAAGACGAGGACCGAGCCCGTATAATCTTCCTGCAGTTCTGCCACCGCAGCCGCGCTTCTTGCTATTTTATCGGTCTGTGTGCCTGGTATATGCTTTTCTCTCGTTTATTTCCTGATTTAGGGAGACCCGTCGAACCCGTGGCGTTGAGGTTCGTGTAAAACTTGAAGCCAGTCGTAAACAATGGTCGCTCGAAACCGCGCGCGCCTGCGAAATACCCCCTCGCTCTGCTTTACAAATCTCGGTTGGCTTTATTTGTTCTCGAGAATGTACTTCGCCGCTTTATTTTTTTTTCTTCATACGCTCGCTTTCGCATTTTGAGACGGCCATGGTGATTGGTCGCTTAGCTAACGTCTCCGAGAAACGAGCAATCTCCTACGGTATGCCAAGAACGCTGTTTGCGAACGCGCTATATTTGATGCTGCGAAGAGGCGTCCGTTTTGCGCTATTTGCTTGTCTATAGAACGCTGCGAAATTTTGTCGTCTCGTGAAATTCGTAACAGCTCTCAGACTTGGGAAAATCTGCACCCTACGACAGTACAAAAATGCTGTGCAGATAGAATCATTAAAGCATAAGCTCACAGAGTTTTTGGTTTAGAACTTGATTCTTCTGAAAATTCTTAAATTTTCGTGCAGTCAATTGGGAAAACGCTACTGCATGTTTTTAAGTAGGCTCTTTTTTACATATCAATTGTCAACATAAGGAAAAAAAATGTGGAGGGGGATGTACGGCAAAGGTTCGTGTGCCACCGCAAACTTTATTCCCATTTATTATTCGCATCATTGCCACCCCAAGACCTGTGTAAATTGACTCTTTTCGTGGTTTCAGCAGTGCTAAAAGTGGAAAATTGGGACAGCCCTATACGTCACGCCCGAAAAAGAAAGTTCGCGAAATGAAGTTTTAAGGCGAGGTAAAAGGAACCTTTGCATGGAAACGAGCTCAGAAGGAAAAAAAAAAGATACCACAGCCTATGCACTGAGCGAATGATGACGAGTGGAACAAGCGTCCGTCCGTCCGCCCGCCCGCCCGCCCGCCCGCCCGCCCGCCCGCCCGCCCGCCCGTCCGCCCGTCCGTCTGTCTGTCTGTCTGTCTGTCTGTCTGTCTGTCTGTCTGTCTGTCTGTCTGTCTGTCTGTCTGTCTGTCTGTCTGTCTGTCTGTCTGTCTGTCTGTCTGTCTGTCTGTCTGTCTGTCTGTCTGTCTGTCTGTCTGTCTGTCTGTATGTGCACATGCTGTGGTGGCTACGCCGTAGGGGTGGACTGCCCTAGACCACAAGGAGCTTCGTCCTTAAAGAAAGTCACAGTTTCGTCAAAAGGGCGAAGCAATCAATGTGATGGGAACATATTCGAATGTTTTGCGAAGCAAGGCTAGCATTTTTATAATATCAGTAAACATGCGCTTTTAAGTAACGAAGTTTCCTGCGGCGTGGTCATAGCGCCAAATTACAAAGTTATACGAAGTGAGGCCCGGCAGTCAACTCATTTAGACCCGTTCTCACGTAACTCTACATAACGCTGATGTAAGAGAACACGGCCGCTCCAGGCACACTTTCGGTACCGTTTCTTTTTTTTTCGTGTTGAGAACGCAGCCCGTGGAAGCTCCCGTTTGCTGCGGAGGCGCAAGCCGCGCGCTGATCGTTGCCGTAATAGCGTGGCAAGCATAAGCCCCCCCCCCCCCCCCCCCCCCCCCCCCCCCCCCCCCCCATTTATTCGCTCATGAGATAAGTGCACGTGCAGATGACCCCGACCGGCAAGGCGATGTTCGCTCCGCAAAAAGGCTAGCGCATCATTTCCCGTATATATATACATACACATGCATATACGTGACTGACGGTGGCAGCGATGGCAAAAACCAGCCGTGACTATCCATATAATTGCTATCGCAATAAAAAGTATTCCATTGACGACTGTTTTTAGTATCAGAACGGCGCTCCTTTCTCAAAGGTCACGTTGTTATTATGCATTTACCGATACATACTTCATAAAATGATTGAAACATAGCTCCTAAATAGTGTCGGGTGGCGGTCAAAGTAAGTATGCTCTGAAGTTGGATTATATGAAAAAAAATATTGAGGGCGCGAGTAATTTACAATTTCTATCGGAACAATCAACGCCTGTACACTTCATCTTCTACTACTTCACACCGTGGAACCAACTGGCTAATTTTGAATATTCAACATCGCAAATTGTGACTTAAAAACTGACTGGGCATTCTACTAAGATGAACTTTTCAACTTAGTACAATTTTTTAAACATTATTCGCAAGGATATTCCTTGGCGTTTAAGTTAAACTTTTTAAAATGAATAAAATTTTCATGTTCTGGGGCACTGAACTCTTACCATGTGCACGCACTTAAATTCTTAACTTATCATTTGCGACATGTCCCTGTGAAAAATTAAAATGGAGTTTAACAAAATATTACGATAGTTGGGAAGGCGTCTACAGTAATTCACTGTGAAATTGATTACTGTTTCCGTATATAAGATGCGTTAGTCGATACGATGACACTATCTCTTACTTCCTAAATCTAAAAATAAATTAAAGACTTTAACAAGATAAGAAAAAAAATCACGGCATATCTACGGAGTGAATGATGATGAGTGGGGCGAAGCAGCCTTCAACCTGTCCGTCTGTTCGTTCTTGCTTCCATCAGTCCGCGCTACCATCCGTACGTCCGCCCGTCCGCCCGTCCATCCATCCATCCGTGTGTACGTCCATCCGTCTGTCCGTCCACTCGTGCTTCCATCCGTCCGTTCGTCTGCTAGTCTGTCTGTCCATCCGTCCGTGCGTCCGTCTGTGCGTCCATCTAGCGAACACTCCAAGTACCGCCATCGCGCATCTCGAATCCGCTATGGCACATACCCGCTCTAGACCCACTTTAGAGTGGGCATGTGCCAAACGTGTTACGCCGACTGACCGAAGACATTGCTCGACTCTAAGGAGCTTCGCCCCTAAAATACAAGTCAGTTTATTTCTTTTAAAAAATTTATTTCTGTTAATAAGTTTCCACAACGCGTTGCCTAACATTCTAGACTGAAAGCGCATCAATTTATGGTGGTCTAAGCGTTAACTTTGACGCCTCGCGGATCTTTGACAAGCACTCAAATCAATCTACACAAGCGGTAGTGCATCTTGGCATGCTTAAGTTAAGTCGTCGTAACGGGGAATCGTGCCCCCAACCATGGACGTCGGCAGGATTTTGTTTTGAGGCGTGCAAAGCTGTGTTATATCACGTCGAAAAAACTTGGAGGCGGGGGGGGGGGGGTCTTGCGAGAGAAGTGCTAAAGATTGGGCGAATTGATATTGATCGATTCATGGCTAGCTGCGCAACAAACACACGGAAGGCTAAGTGTTAGTATAGCTTGGGATGGGGGGAAGGTGGCCATTTTGAACTCTCGTCCCCATGCCAGCGCCCATGCCCGCAAAGTTGTGCTCTGCAACACAGCGACACATCCACTTTCACTGAAATGAGAAACAACATCTCAACTCACCACCATCGTCCACGATGAACTGGAACTGATCGTTGGGGTCTTCAATGAGCGTGGCATCTGCCAGGGGAATTTTTCCGACACTCTGCGACAGATACCACGAGTGGAACAATTAAGACGACAAGGAAGTTCTGCGAGTACTCGCCATAATGTAAAGAACACTTCCTAGTAATTGTATAATATGGAGGGCATAACGTCCCAAAACCACCATACGATTATGAGAGACGCTGTAATGGAGGGCTCCGGAAATTTCGACCACTTGGGGTTCTTTAACTTTCCTAATAATTGTGCAGCTAGCATTCCGAAAACACAGATTGCCCAATTGATGGCGACACATTAATTTTTGCAAATGGCGTGCACGAGTGCAGTTCTATTGCGCTACGTAGGCGTGGAATATATATGTACAAGGGTCGTTATACGGACATGCATAAAAGGCAAACACCGACATATGCAGCTGAAACTGCGTTAGCACTTGAACTATGACAGGTGCCGTCATAAAGTCTGGCAAATATGCAGTGCAGAGTAGTCTGATTATGGCTTACGAATATTAAAAGTTTTATTCGGTCTCATGATAAGAATAGCTACGCTAAGTTGGCAATTTATATAGCTACACTCTAAACTTGTATAGGTTGGTTCATTGGTATAACTTTATTAAAGGTCCTGAGAGACTCCACCAGCGCGTTGTTGTTCCTACCACTATGAGACGAGCAGGCTAGAGTATATGCTATATTTACGTAACGGAGTCGCACGTCCGTCTCCTTAACGCCGCCAGCAACCACACGTTGCAGAGAAGTTGATGCTCAGTCTAATGTTCGAATTCCTTAACGCTGCCGCTGCAACCAACTCCATTGACTCTGTCAACGACAGTCAAGTTATGCACCGGTAGTCGACACGACAAACATGTCGCCTGCAGTTCTATGCGCAACTCTGCAACCTTAAAGTACCATATACAGATAGGGCAGGCTAAGTCTGATTACCGCATCGTGGGTTCTTTGTAAGATGTTCATCGTAGAATATTGTACAGCGCAATGGGTTAGATACGAACAAAGAAGGGACACCCGTTGCGCTGTAGAATATTCTACGATAAAGATCCACTAATTTGCCCAACTCGCGATTCTGCTTTCTGTAATAGTCTATAACTGTCAAAGCTGATACCAAAGCTCATCTCCATCGTACATAGGGGCTTTTGATAGTTGAGCACCACTTGGTTCGGGTAGCTTGATTGGTGTTCAGTGACAGGGGGCATCACCAGAGTACGTGGTCTAAATTAGGTGTCTCCCAGCAACGCCATGTAATTTTTTAAATGGAAACGTAAGCTCACTTGAAGCGGCGTCCATTTTGTTTCTGAGGGTGAGATGCTGCGAAGCAACTTACGGTCAAATCAAGGTAAGACTGTTGTTATTCATCCGCTACAATGGGCCGGCTCGACTGAACCACGCGTGTTTGTTTTTCGGGGTGAACGCTTCACGGTCAGTTCAAAGCGCGCCGGGATGTTGCGCACGGTGCAGTCAATAAGTATCGGGTGATTGTGCATTTTCCGCATAGTGTCTATCCTTCTTTAGCACTTTACGGTCATTTCTTATTCAAAGCTGCAAGATGTCAAGATAGTTCTGCCAAGAATACAACTAATGTGCAGCCTTCTAATCGAGAACCCTTTATTCTGGCATTTCAGAAAGTTGTTAGCACTACAACATACATTTATATTTGATGATAAAGAGAGTGAAAGAGAGAAAGGGACAACGAACAGGATGTAGCGACATGTGTTTCGTCTGTTTTTTTTCTAGTTTCTTGTTGGCATTTCGTTAGTTAAAACTTTTTGTTACTTAACGAGCATACATATGTATGGTGTGAACTATGCACTATTCAAGGTCACACAAATGGTCTACACGTTTCACGCGCTCTTTTCATGGCTCTTGTGTAATTAAAGTATAAGCTGAGAAATGATAGACTAGACTCTCGACTTCGAGTTTCCATTCCAAGCATATCTTAAATAGAAAGTGTACATTGGTGCATAAAATAGATTGATTTATTCTTTTTCATGTATTTGAGAGATGTTCGGCGCGAAAAGTTGACAACCCATCCTGATGAACACATAACTAATCCCCATCACTCTCTCGAATACAACCTGAGAACGATTGCGATCAATACAGAAACAACTGACAAGAAGGAAACAATAGATGAGACATTTTGCACCTGCTGATCCTTTGTGTAACACACACTTTTCAAGTCGCACAATGTTGCAAACGCGTACCTCGACCAGATGTAGTTTTCCGGCCGAGGTTCGGTTGCAGAGGAGCATGTGGTTAGTGAAGAGGTAGCATTGGCGCACTACTTCTTTCTCGCCTTTGAGGTTAGGGATTCGCGATCGCTGGGACTTGGCCTTGTCCGACCCCACCACGTGGATCACATTGCCTGCGTCAGAGGGCGAACAGGTGGCGCTACAGTACAGTACAGTCTAGTCCTAGATAAAACTTATTTGCGTGTGTTTCTTTTGTTTTTTTTTTCTGTTTCACACTACAATTAAAAAAGGCAGCCAGTTCATCGGCAAATGTAAACAATAAAAAATATTTACTAGAAATTGTGTGTCCCGTTTCATTGCACAAGACAGAAAAGTATATCTTAAAACCACAGTGGGTGGAGGAGGAAAAAACAAACTGAAATAGTTCATTATGCTTAAAGATCGCTGTCTGTCTGACATGGTTCATTATGACATCGTCTACGGCGGCCCGCAGGTGAAAGCGATGTTTTTTTCAGAGCAGAGCTGTTATGATATAGGTTTGACGTGTGTCACAGAAAAAAAAATATTACCGCCATTACGAACCGGCAGGCCCTCAGTGACTGCCCAATCATTCAGTACAGATGGTTAACAAGACAAGTTGAAACGAGTCCACCAGCTCTCCTGCTACAGAGCTTTGCGTGACGTTGTGCAAGTTGGGCTAATTTTTTCCTTTTCAGCCGATTCATTGATATTCCTCAGATCCCTTCGAAAGCTTTGCTGCACCTTACGTGGTTTATTCACTGCCTCCGGGATTGGATACATCACGATTTCGGCGCTTAACCTGACTTTGAATTGTCTCCGTGATTGGTCCGCTTTTGAGCAAGAAACGAGGTCACGTGAGGCCACGTTATCTGATGTCAATGACGGCATAGTGATGTCACAGTGTCGGTGACGTCATCGTCATGCGATTACTTTTTGCATCACTCGTGTTGATGCCGACGGTCAATTTTCGCGTTTGATAAGGCCTCAAAGCTTCCGCCTAGAAATTTTTCTGTGTGTGTATTTGTGATATTTTACGAGCAGATTATAAGTTAAAGAATACACCTGTGCTCGCATTTCAGAAAACGTTTTACCCTAGTATACTTCGCGAGAGAAAATTTCAGCGTTCTTGTTGGTTTATGCGTATTCTAGAAGCATGACTACCCTGAAAATCAGGACTGGTAATACCTTCACGTGTTCGTCTTATTTACAGCTGTTTAGTCTTCTAATAAATTGTGCGCAATTAGTTTTCATGCTTTTTACGCGAATATCTACGGGACATTAAACGTGTAGACATTCGATAGAAGACTCAAGAGCTGTGAACAACACAAACAGATGAGGTCCATGTGTTCGTCTTCTTCACAGCTCTTGAGTGTTCTATAAAATGTCTGAATGTTTAGTGTCGTGCGAATATTGGCGTTAAAAACATAAAACCTCGTTGCACACAATTTAGCCCTTTCGAAAGGAACATTATATGCTGTACAGGCATGTTCTAATGCTACTTGTTGGCTGTCTAGCACAGTTTTTCTTTCGACATTGAAGCGCTATCTTGGCGTTAACGTATTTTCGATCGCGACCAGCTAGTAGCCGATTGCACGAACGTGAGACAACAACATTAGATGATAGAAAATGTCCATCGGTAACCTCTTTTCTGAGTAATGTTTCTTTAAATCATAAATAAGATAACTTGTCTGAAGTTGGGAGAGCTACGTAAGATAAAAAAAAAGTACTGTGTGATGAACTACAAATTCCTCACTCTATGAGTTATGGTTTAGTAAACCAAACATAAGATATATGCAGTGAAGGTCACGCAAAAAGTTTTCAGCCTCAGTGATATATAAAAATAAAAATGGCCTGCCAGTTCGGAATATTGAGGAAAGAACATTGATGTGTGAGTGAACGCATAGAAAAATAGCGAGAAAGAATGGAACACCTTGGATTATTCCAGAAATATTGGTGGTGTGTAGTCGTGCGTGAACTACTGCTGGTGTCGTCTGCGTTAGGGCGAAATGGCGACGGTGGTGCCACCTTTGCCGTCTTGTTCTTAACGGCGCGCTTCTTCCATATGCTCGGAACCATCTGTCGGCTAGGGTCGATAGCAAATCGTATCTCCGAGGGAGGAGAAATGGGGGGGATTATAGTTTCCATGTTCCGCTTTCGGCAGCGTATGCGGCGGCGGGGACAGAGTTTGTTTGGAAATTGTTCGGTCCTGTCGGCCAAATACGGTGCAAAAACATCTTCTTGCGCCACGAAGGACGAATAAATAATAAAATAATAAAAAGGAAATGCTTGGCGGGAGGCAGAATAACCTGAGTGCTCCGAGAGTGCAGCCTTTTCTCTGATCGGATTTCCTGCGAGGGATAAAACTGGAGCCGAGCCACGTACGACTCCGGACTGATGGCCAATGCGAGTATAGGCCGTGTAAAAACGAAGAAACAATAACAAAATAAAGATGGCAGACGCGTTCACGAACGAATGTGGCTCTGAGGGCATGTATTCCTGAAAGAGAGAGAGAGAGAGATAGGGAGAGATAGGGAGAGATAGGGACACACAGAGAGAAGACGTCCGTACTCTCAGGATTTGAGGAAGCTCAAGGAATTACGACTCTCCTGATTTGTTCTGTTCTCCTTGTTTTCGGGAGCCAGGGATTGTCCTCAAAGCGGCGTGTCCACTTCCTAAGACGCGGAGAGCGCCTCGCACTTTTCATGTTATGACGACTTTCATTTCGATCGCGCCGCTTTTCGCGCACTTGCAGAGCAAGCCGGATAGAAATCATCCCTTTCTGGATTTTGTTATTGCGACTGCTCTGAGAAAACGGGTCAAACAACGAGAGTACCGACGCGAGTTTTTGTGCAGTAATGAATAGACTAGATTTACGATGTAATTGAGAATTCGCGCTTATCCCGTGGACAGAGTGCAAGTTCTCTAAAAAATAGTTTTTTTTTTGACAGCTCGTGCATCAGGTGTGTTGAAATCAAACGTATCTGTACGTGCAAGCACATGATGTGGGGCTTTTATGCTAGGTTCAGAAGGAGAAAAAAAAACAGAAAGTAAGGATTTTTTTGCATTTAGAAATGTGAGGACTTCGTCTCAATGCTTCACGGAGTTCAAGACAAGGTGCTTTGAACGAAGATAGCGTCAATAGGCCGTCAGACCAGACGAAGCTTCTCTTACAGCCCGGAGCTCAGCAAGGCTCTCTCCCAAAGCTCAGTCTTGCGAAGTTCAAGGTTCGTGGTACTAGATGGTCTTCTCATTCAAAATCGCAATATTTATTGTGGGTGGTGTAATATATATACAAAATCCTTACAAATGTTAAGAATTTTTTTATGGTTATTCGGTATTTCAAGTGAACAGTCGAGCATTGTAAACACTGTGTCACTGTGGCAGTTAAAGCGTGACGAAGTTGACAAAGCAAGCGCATAACGAACTAAGTGTTTTTGTAGTGGTGCAAAAAAAGAAGAAGCTACCGGTAACTCGCAAATCCAATATTGTGTTCAAGATGCCATATAATGTGCGTATATGCCAAAATTATGAGTGTGGAACGAGGCATAACACACTTGGCAGGTCATGATAAAAGTGATTCTCCGGGCTGTCGTATTCGCAGTTTCCTGTCGGTTGAGCTCACGAATATATGCGTGCACACTCTTCATGCATCAGTTTACGGTGATGCGTGTTGCTGTTGACGCTACGGTGTAATTGTTACGCTGATCACGAAATATGGAATGTAATTTGCTATCTTACGTTTCTAAAGGCTGCAGGAAGCTTTCCGACGACTCGAGACATTTAATACAGAAGATTTTGACCGACACGCACTTCGATATCACTCATGTGTGGCAGTTCCACTTATTATCAACATTCCGCCGGTGCCTTACTTACGTATATTATCACCACGCGCTTACAACTGTGTTAACTGAAGCTTCTTTTTAGATCACCGTTTAACAACTAGTATGCGACATACGCTAACGTCATGTTGTACGGTGCTGAACATTTTCAGAGGTATCACGTGATTCCGGTGTTGCAGTGCAATAAGAACATGCTCAAAGCGTTTGACTAACGGACGGAAAAAAACCTTTACTGATAAAAGCAGCTGTGAGGTGTCCATATCTGTGCCTCTGGCCACCTGGGCCGAACCTTTCCACTGCTTCGCGGGCCCGCTGGATTGCCCATATTTAAGTAAATCATCCAGTCAGATTGATTGATTGATATGTGGGGTTTAACGTCCCAAAACCACCATATGAGTATGATAGACGCCGTAGTGGAGGGCTCCGGAAACTTTCACCACCTGGGGTTCTTTAACGTGCACCCAAATCTTAGCACACGGGCCTACAGCATTTCCGCCTCCATCGGAAATGCAGCCGCCGCATCTGGTATTCGATCCCGCGACCTGCGGGTCCGCAGCCGAGTACTTTATCCACTAGGCCACCGCAGCGGGGCTCCAGTCAGAACGGTTAGCCCATCGCTCCTCGAGAAAGTCCTATTTTACGTTGTCCACTCTGTATATTGTTCTGATCTCTGTGCATTTGCATAAGATGCGTGCCATGCCCTATGACTCGCACCAAGTGTTCTCTCTGTCTCCTTCTGGGAATGCGTGCTATGAAAGGGGGGGAATAGCTTCGTAATTGAAAAGGACGAGCTCCGTCAGCCGGCGATGACTGGAAGCGTCCTTCTTCGCGCTCACTCGGCTGCCAACTTGTTCTATATAGGGCAGTGAGATTTCTGCGCCGAAGAAAGCGTTGCCCGCCTTTCGACCGCTTTCCTATTTGTTCGGGCGTGCGAACGATGCATATGGGTCGGGCATCTTGACACGGCGTTTAATTACGTCCGGTCGCTTGCAGAACGAGCGAGTAAAAGAAGGCTCGCCCCCCTCCTCTTTTTCGGCGAAAGATGTCCATTCAAGACGACTCGCAGAGACGACGCGCCGTCTGCTTTCTGTGCAGTTCGAACAATCAGGACGGTTGGCGCGGGAAGTGAGAGAAGTTCTTGATCCCGCTATGAAGAGATGCGTGCCGGTAGGGAAGGAAGATGATCGAGGGCGAGTGTTACGCGGGGAAAGTGGCGGACGTACTGGTTGACCCGCGCGGGAGAAGGCTTAATGAGTACCCGGTCGGATTAATTATCCTTGCTCCGAAACAAGCCCCGGAGGACGACGTCCGAGTGGCACCACTCTTTCCCACTGTTGCCGTGTAGTAGTATTGCTGCCCGGCGCTAGAGTGTGGGCCAGCCACCAGTGGTGCGCATTATGCACACTCGGGCGATTCGGTGGCAGCGGCTGCGAGGGAATGTTCGTTTCGAGTCTTGAGGGAAAAAAAGGGGCGAGTGTTTTGCGTCGTTCGTAGCGGGGCTGTTGCGTGTGGACTGCGTTTTGTGCGCGAGCGATGGAACGCGCCCACGCAACGCGGGTCCGCTGGGACTGTCCGTAGTGCTTGCACGTCTTCATTGCGTCAATCGGTGAGGGTGGAGAGAGATAGATGTGCCTATGCTTGCGACGCGTTCGAAATGCTCGACTCGAGTTCGACGAAGTTCACCGAAAGTATAGTGTTTCGATTCGCGGATATCCGGTTTCACGAGAGGGACTACTGAAGCTAAAAAAAAATAATTACGACTCCCATTGCGGAGCAGTTTGATACTCAGCGTGAGTACGACATGAAAAATGGAACCCTTTACGGGCGTCTAAAGTAAACGTGTTTGAAACCGCCCTTTCTGACCTCATCATCGCACCCTTTTTCTTTGTTGTCATCAGCGGTTGTTAAACAATAAAACCTTGGTGATACGAATCTCACGGGATCACCAATAATATTTGCCTCATCCGAAATTCGTATGGCCAGAAAACATTGAAATATTTATTCCCCAATTGAAAGCCGGTACATATATTTATTTCTTGTTTTTTTTTTGGTCCACAGCAATGCCTTGAACAGATCTGATTGCCCCTAAACGTTTTAGTTGTCAAAAATAATACTTATACTACGAAATACACAGCCCGTGGGCACATGTGTAATTAATGGATCAGATGTACCATGTCGCGTGACAGCTAGTATACCTCACCTCAATCTTAGTGCACTACAGTACTGCGGCGAAAATAGCTTAAAGAGAATCTTGCACGCGATAGATGACGGCCAGAAAATTTTAAAACCGCTGCCATTTCCGCGCATTATTGCCGCGTCTTGTGCGACAGTGCGGACATAACCCTTTCTTACCTTCGTCGTAGCGTACGTTCGTATCAAACGTCGCGGAAGGCAACTCGGTTCACAACAAGCATACTCCATTGCACTGCCAGCTAATAGACCTTGGCCGGGATTACAGGAAGATTCGCATCATCATAAAAGACGTACAAGCCACGACCGTATCAGTATTGTTTCACTGTAAATGCGTCAAGCGAGCGTAACTCCGAATGAGACCTCGCGCCTGCTTACCTTGCCTGACGAACACTTGGTTGACGTCCAAGAGGATGTCACAGCCTCCTATGATCATCCTTTCTATGGCCAAGTTCTTACGGATGTTCTCGGTTTCGCTCACTTCGTCGTGCATTTGCTGCAAAAGAGATTACAAAATACAAGCTTGGGTATAGAAACACGCTAGAGATCAGTGGTATATATATAAAAAAACTTTAGAAAATATAGAACGAAGCAGTTTATATTTTTATACCAAAATGCTATGCTATGCTGTTACGAGTAAGCGCGCCAGTACGTTCTACGCTGTGTACTTGTTCTGTTGAGGCGATTATCTTGCTGTCAAATGTTGTGTGTGCTGATAAGGAGAAATATTCTTTTAAATACTTCGGCTTTGCGTTAAGGCCTCTCTCTTACGCACGCTACTGATTAATTTTTATATGTATGAAACTAAGACACTCGTGCATTGCTCTAATGCCACTAGCTATAATTTTGTGACTGTATGTACTTTCTGTTTCGAACGTGGCGGTGTTAAAAAGCGTAATGTGTAGAAATTTTGAGGTTGGTGTCGTTGATTGTCAGCGAAATGTCATTTCATTCTCCGTGACTGAAAAATTGAGAAAGATGCAAATCAAATGAATTAAAAACATTTGGTCAGAGCGAGAATCGGACCCAGGCCGTCTGCGAGGCAACCACGTGTTCTACCGCAGTCACGCTACTACTTGCAACTGCTCCGAAACACACACACACACACACACACACACACACACACACACACACACACACACACACACACACACACACACACACACACACACACACACACACACACACACACACACACACACACACACACACACACACACACGCACACACACACACACACACACACACACGCGCACACATGCACGCGCGCACACAAACACACATGCACGCACGCACACGCACACATGCACACACGCACACGCACACATGCACACACGCACACGCGCGCGCACGCACGCACACGCACACATGCACACACGCACACGCGCGCGCACGCACGCACACGCACACATGCACACACGCACACGCGCGCGCACACACGCACACGCGCACACGCAAACACAAACGCACAAACGTAGACAAACACACACGCACGCACAAGCGCACACACAAACGCAGACGAACACACACGCACGCACAAACACAAAGATAAACACACACGCACGCACAAACGCAAAGACAAACACAAACACACACACACACACACTATATAAATCTCACGTAGAAGAAGGAGTCTCTTCAAAGCATCTAGTATTGCGTGACGGAAGCGTATAGAATCGCGCCAGTAGTCAAAACATGTGAATTGCACAATGAATGGGTGTTTTTAAGGGACACTAAAGTCAAATAATAATTTACGTCAGACTGAAAGCTTAATGTATGACAACGTCTAAAACGATAATATTAACAGCTACGCCCTACTTACCGAGAAATTAAGGTAAATGCGCAAAATACATGCGCCACAGTAGGACATTCTCAAAATGATCCCGATGACATCACACAAACCACCTACAATTAATCACTAGTAATCAATCTAGCTGCACTAAATAAAGAATTTTTCGTTCATAAATAGATGCAATGTTATGCTGCTTGTTCGTTTCTGCTTGATTCATGAAAAAAAGGACCACCGGACGTTTCTATGAGGAATGGCGCGAGTGGTTCAAAAATTTAATTTTCGCGTGGCTAAACTGGACAGGTCGTGCCATGTAGCGGGGTCCTGTTAAACGAAGCGCGCCTGCGATCTTGAAGACAATGGCTATAATTTTTTCATTGGTCATTGTTGCTGCTGTGGCTCCCGGCTAAATCCGGGCAACGTTGTGCTCGGGAACAGTGATGTCAGACGTTCCGTTGTTGCGGGTAATTCGAAGTGCGCTAACCCGATGCGGACCACTGAAACGAGTTTTTATTTCAAATTAAACCCTTCCCTGGAACAAAAGTAACACTATACGACGAGGTTTCCGGACCGCTATTTTAACAATCAACTGTCGACTTGATAGTTGCCTTTAGTGTCCCTCTAAAGGCCCATCCATTACAAAGCGCTCAGGCATACTTACTCAGCATACTTAAGCATTAGAAACGCATTCGAATAGCGGCACCGTTGCGGGCGGCTTCATTTGGCATGCATTCGATTGAGAGGAATCCGTGGAGGCGCGTGGAATCGCAACGATACGTACGCGTGACAGTTCCTCGAGCTTGGTCCGTGCCGTCTCCAGGCTCCTGCGTTCAACGTGGTTGTGTGGTGTGTGGGCCAGCAGCTCGTGCAGCGTTATGATGTACCGAGGCACCTGCGCAACGTTTTTGGTCGTCTCACTCGGTCCGCACCGTTACGAGAGCGCGGTAGCGTGACGTCGAAAGCGTTACGCGTGCTAAGCATGTATTCGGACAAGAACATGCGTCCCAGCACAAAGGATATCGACATAATGACTGACGTAACCCTGTTTTCGCCATGTCTTTCGACGTTTCAAGGCAATCTTCACGCGGTTGACATATAGCGCTAAGTGCAAGTATTAGTTGGCGGCGATCCAATGACTGAGTGATATCTGCAACCGTGAAAATCTCGAATAAGGTATGCGTAACGTGAGCAGTGGTTCGTCTGAAAGTAAAGTGGCTGAATTAGCTTTACCCGTGCAGAGACTTCGATATCTACGGACGGGATATTGAACAAGTGGAAGCACGGGCATACGGTTTTTGCGTTATCGGCCGCTTAACAAAGCTGTATAATAATAAAATTTGTTAACGAAATCGCGAATGCGAGAGTACTTTGCCACTGGTAAATTCCCCTGCAGTTCTTTCTCCCCCTCTCTTGCTCTTCACTTTCTTCTCGTCGCAGCAGCAGTAAAAAGTGAGTTTAGTGTCGGCCGCGGTTGCTCTAATAATCTAAAAAAAAAAAACTGAAGTACGGCTCCAAAAATGGGTGGAAAGTGTGCTACAACGGTCGTTAGGTAATTGTGAAAAGTTAGGCCGACTCGTACAAGTTTATACGGTGGAAAAAAAAAAGAAAGCGATAACTCAATACAAGTATGAAGAAGGCACACTTACAGACATCGGTGGTGTTGTGCGAGTAATTGTGCCGTATTTTTTTGTTATTGTGTGGGCTTTTCACTGTTGTTTTGGTCGTCTCTAAGGTCTGTATTCAGATACTAACCTCATCCTTCCTCCAGTTTTCCTTATCGGTTTTACGCCTTTTTTGCGCTTGCTGTACAAAGTTGGCTAGTATTCATGAACCAACCTTGATTTTATTTTTTTTTACCCTGTTACCATTTTTGTGCCCTTATGGCTTATGTGTAGAGTACATATGGTAGAGGGAAACTGGACGTATTGCCAAAATTTGGTTTGGGAACACGGGCCTAAGTGTTCGTAAATGCGCACCCATGGCGAAGCAATACCTGGTGCATGGGATAAGTGAGGAAGGTCTCCAGGGTCCTGCCTTGGAGCACGGTCTTCTCCTCGAGTCGCTGCAGTATGGCGGCGAACTTGTCGCGCTGCTTGCACTCGGCCAAAACCTGGAGGCTGTAGTGGTGGTTGCGGACGTACTCTTGGTAGATCGTCAGCATCGGAAGGAGCATGTCGAACAGATCTCCTGCGGGGCGTCCGGGACGTGGACGGACGGACGGGGGATGTACCGGGACCAACGGGGAATTGGGGCGGTGGACCAGTGGAGGACGGAGCGGAGAGAAAGAAGACGCGCACCAGCGCGCGTACGCACACACGTCGAACGAACAGGGGGTGACAACGGCCTCAGCCGGGGCACCGAGGTGACCCCTGGCGGCGGCCTGTGACACCCGTCAGTTTACGACAGAAGTACGAGCCGGGCGGCACCTCGAGCCGGAATCTTTTCCGGGGGCCAGTGAGATGCCTTTCACTTAACGGTTCACCCAATGTGGTGTTCTGGTGTTTAATGTATTCAACTGCTGACCAGAAGGTCGCGGGATCGAATCCCGGCCGCAGCAGCCGTATTATTACGGAGGAGAAATGCCACGGGCCCGTGTACTTAGGTTTAGACGTGTGTCTAAGAACCTCAGGTGGCCGAAATTTCCGCGGCCCTCCATTACGGCGTCCCTCATAAATGAGACGCAAAACACTAACCACTTCATATTACTCATCGCTTCTTCAAGAACTGCTTGTGTCTATTGAGTATTGGTAGATAAAAAAGACGTGGTTTGTGCACTGATTTCGCGGAAATGTCTGTAGTGGCAACTTCGGATTGCGTGGGAGGACCGCAAATATATTTTATGGCAGCTGCGGACGCCTGCACTCTTTTCACTCGCGAGAAGGACAGTGAATGAATAAGCTTTGTTTGGGGTTAGTAATGAAATTTTTTTTAAAAATCAGTATTGTTAACAGGTAAAGAGAAACCTTTGTTAGTTGCAGCGTAATTTCTACGTGGCGACTTACACAAAGCTGCACTATTGAAATTTCAATACTTCGATATCAATTTAAATAGTTCGACAGTTACCTCAGTAATATTATTCAGGTAAAGAATCTGATGGTGTAACGCAATGTACTTATCTTTATTGCCACTTGTTCGCTCAAGAACTACGTGAATTCTACGAGACTCTTGCGCTACCTAACCAAGACATGTTTCGAGCATTTCGAGCACTCTCGTCCGCCTCTTCAAAACACCGTTAAACGTGAGCTATAGGGAAGTCCAGGCTCGAGGCGCCGTACGGCAAAGCCAACTGGAAGCAACAGCGATAAGCGTACAGACACTGCACGCATATTGTTATAAAAGAGCACGAGGCATCAGGCTTTGTCCACCCGCGGATGCGTCATGCCCATGACGTGCAGCCGCCATGCCAGCATGCTCAGTGAACCATGCTCAAGGCGCGTGCAAGTCCCGCGTGCAGCCACAAGCAACGCATGGGCTCGTTGGCAGCGCCCCACTGTCGCACGTAGAGGTGTCCATCATTCGATGATGTAGTTTGTAGCTTAGATTTTTTTCTGGGTGAAGGGGCCAGTCAAGCTGTGAAATGCAGCTTTTTTTCCCCTTCGCACCAAACCACGTATACAGTGTATTTTCGTGTACTTGTAACGTGGTTGAATAAACTCAAACTCAAACAAAGAAAAGACGCTCGCTCTGATGTAATGCGCTAAAGGAATCTCGTTGCGAATTTTTATTCGTCTCCCATACAAGATATGCACGTATTCAGTGAAGGTGTCATGGCGCTTCATTGTTTTATCAGATCGATTGAGGAACAAAAATATTGCAGTTGAGTGGTCTTGCATTTTTGTGAAGTCAGACTGACGTAGACGCGTCCTTAGAGGAGCTCCTTGTAGAATTTAAGGAGAAGGGTTGTTAAAGCACACCGTATGGTGTTTACTCGTGTTGAGTCGTTGTGCTCTACTTGCCTGATGCGGGAAAATAGCTTGAATATATATATATATATATATATATATATATATATATATATATATATATATATATATATATATATATATATATTATTGAATGAACTCGCAGATAGCACATTTGAAAAGGAAATTGTAAAGCCAATTTCCGTTTAAAATGTGTTATCTGCAAGTTCATTCAATATAGAAAAATACCCGGACCTGTCGTGCCTTCCCTTCAATATATATATATAAATATATATATATATATATATATATATATATATATATATATATATATATATATATATATATATATATATATATATATATATATATATATATATCTTAGTCAACATTAAGGGTCATGCTCACTAAAGCGTTCTTTAGTAAATTCTTTTTCCTGTTGGTCGGTAACTTTCGCTAGTTATATGCCCAGCGTAAGGATTGGCTGATAGTAGTCGTCTCACAAACGATTACAGCGTAAGATGGAGTTCGCGATTTCTAGCTCATAGGGTACTATATAGTACATTGTTACTTACGAGCATGTTACTTCGGCCGTGGGTGCTTGTTTCCACCGTTCACTGGGAGTTAACAACATTCATTTGTCACGCGATTAACGGCATGGTCGGAAGGAACTCTTGCGCTCGCTTCACGTTCATGTAGCGGCTAGTTTCTCTAAGCACTGCGAGAGCGATGCGCGTATCACACGGCAGCGATGTAATTGACGAGACGCTTCTGCGGGTAACCGAGCGCGAGCTGTAGCGTGCTTTCGTTTCGAGCTAGCGTTATTGTCGGGGGCCAGGCGTACAGCGTGGATGGGCACTGTGATGACATCCAGATGTGCCCGGCGCAGTTTCAGCTCTAATTGGGGCAGCTGGGGACTATCAGGCGTGCCACCTTTTTCAGCGACCATTAGGCGCCAACAGTGCACGCTCGTTGGCTTGTGCCCAGGTCGCAAGGTTCGTTAGTGGAGCCACTACTTCTGGAGAAGCGCGTCTGCCCGCGGAATTGCAGCAGGCGCAATGGTTTCCTCTGGAATTCATTTCGCGCATTTAGCTGTGCATTCTCCCTGACGTGGGCTAGGCTTGCCCTGAGCAGGCTCGAGGCGAAAGATTTCTTGACCTCAATTCAGTACAATGGTCTGTATGAGAACTAGACATAACACGCCAAAACATCGTACCTGTGTATATGAATGTTCTTCAGGCATGTGTGTCTTTACTGCATCTATTCCCAGTGCACGTTTAGCTTTTGCGTGAATGTCACTCCTTACGTCATATTGTAGTTTGTACGATACGTAGCGTGTTTTACAAACGGCAAACGCGTGAACTCTTCCTGATTTCAATTGCAGGTCACCCTTCTATCACCATGTGATTTGCTCTGTACAAATAAGGATGTAAAGTCGTCCGTAAGCTCAACTCAAACGCTCCGCAGTGAAGCCTGGACTGGTGTGACTGATGCCAGCCGCGAAGCGCTGGGCACTGTTGCCATTATAATGCCTTGGTATGCTTTGATACTATGTGAGCATGCATTCGTAAAAGCTCGGCTACAGAGCCTAAAGCTGCGTGGTGCTGGCGTCAATCAAACCGTTTCAGGACATGTCGCAGAGCGTTCGCTCTAAGCTTGCTGACCACCGTACATTTGAGCGTACGTAGTAATGAGAGGGAGGCTAATATTTCAGCACTCCTAACAAGTGTCTGGGAGAGAGGTGCAGAAAGCTATGATTTTGTATGAGCTGTAGTGTGGGTTTCCACTGAGTCAGTGGCCTTACTTTTACGTAAATATAAAATAAAGTAGGAATAGTATGTTTGGAAACGAAAAGTTGAGGACACTGGAAAGCCTAGGCTAGAGAAAATGCTACAAAAAGCAAAATCGTGAAATTGACTCCAATCCAGCGTGAATCAGTCATATATTCAAGCAAATCATGAACACAAAGTGTTTTTTGGTATGCAAAATTAGGAACATTGTTTTCTAACTTTTATCTCGCAACGTCAACACTTGTTTATTATTTTATTTCCAAAGTCATCTTTTCGAGATATTTTTTTGTTTTGTTCTGATAGCGGTGGCGGCATCAAGGTTGTTTTTGTCGGCGAACCATTGAAATGAAAAGTCAGGTGTCCTGTTATGTAGGGCGCCTCTGGTTTTATTCAGTGGTGTGGTGTAAGAGAAGCTAAGCAACAGCCCACTTGGGTTCCAACACGGCGGTAACGCGTACCGCGCAATAGAAGATACTTCGTGTTCTCTTTCTCTCTTTGCGCGAGTGTTGGACTGTTTTCGATTCAGGGGAAACGAAAGGCTGATGACTCGTAGTTCCCGAGTACAGCGTTTCGAACAGAGCGCTGTATTACACCGTCAATGGAAGAACGCAGTTTTTTTTCCCGTGTTGCAGTGGCACTCTGCCTGCCGAGCGTAGCGATCAGGCGATGTTCACCTTCGTACATCTGGGGATGCGATGCAAGGACGTGCGATAAAAAAGGCATCGTCAAGGGCTCTCATGCGAAAACAAACAAACACTGACAGAGAAAGGGCCTCACTGCTTGTGGGGCAATTTTGTGGTCTCATTCGGCGTATGCTGTTCGGCTAGCAAAGGCAATGCTACTATTTGCTAAGGCGTATATAGCCTCCCCTTTGCGGTCTATTTGCGTATCTAAAACTCGGGAGTGAAGCGGCTCGCCTACAGAGTTTCTTTCGAAGAACATGTCACTGTACGATTCTCTGAGTGGAATACGAGCTCTCCCATTACGCGTTTACTTTAATGTCGTCGTTTAATGAAAAGCATTAGATGAAATTGCGAAGCAACGGTGATTGCCGTTTCCGGCGTGCTTGCAGTCGGTACCGAAATAATGGTACGTCACTGCATGGAACAACGTGGCTGTCGACAGCGCGAATACCTTAGTTTGAACTCTCACACTCGCCTCTTTATCAATTATGTGCTTCATACTTGTGCGTCAAAAATTACCGACAATGCCACCCGTCTAAATTATACCTCAGTATTGTGCGAAGCTATCGCAAAGTTCAACACAACGCTATAGCACCGAAATTGCGATGGCTTTTTACTTTGTTTTCGTTAGGACATGTTTTCAGTCATAATGTGCGTTACCAGTACTCAACCAGCGAGACAATTTTTTTGTTGTTGCTCTGTTGATGTGGTTCTGCCCGCCCATTCGCGCCACGCTAACTGCACCAACACACTAAGTACCGAATTACTTGCCAAGCTTTGCGGCATTCCATGCCGCTGAGGCATCTGCTCATTCCCGGCTTCGTAAAAGCGCTGCTTACGTCACTTCTCAGACCACGCCCACCCTTCTCAATGTAAATGAACGCGTACATGCGTGTGGAGTTAAAGCGTCGACAGCTGATGTAGCGCATCGAGTACATGAGCGTTAATGCGTGGTATGCTCGCAATGATCGATGCGGGCCCAATTTACTGTTCTTAATTGCAGTTACAGTGAAAGTGAGTGTACATTGCGTAGTCAAGAGAAACAAAACCACGCACATCGCACATTAGTGGGCTTGCTAAGAAAACATTAATGTCACGCAGTTGTTTGTCTGCTCTGGCACGCATTTAAAGCATCTTCTTAGGGAACTCCTTGCATGTACTACAAGATATGCCCTCTGTAGCCTGATAATGTTTATGATGTTGATATTCAGCATGGGTGATATTAAATTAGATATCACCACTTTCACATGAACTTTCCCCAATGATGTACAAAGTGTCATTTTCGTGCTCCTGCAATGACAGATAACCTGCTCCTGCGAATGACAGATAACCTCATAAAGTACTCTTGTTCGTGCCAAGGCGACATCAATTGTCAGCTTTCTGCAATGGCCAGTGCATGTAAGAAGTACTTTGTGTTAAAACAAATTTTATCTCGCTTCTTCGGCAATCTGCGAGCCTCTTCTCATCTATACGTTTCGTGTTTTAGCCCCTGCTTGTTTGCACTTGAACGTCAATTCTACCGGAATTCGCTTTTTTTTGCCAAGGGCATGAAACTTATCATATTTCAGTGTCAAACCAAGACCGCTTACTTCCCTGACTCGCAGTCAGCAGCGGTACTTATAATCAGCCTTGAAGATATTCCCTGCGCCACTTGTAGGACCTTCTTTCACGTGAACTATACGGCCACCGGCAGTGGCAATGAGTTCCCTAATAATACACTAGAGGGAAATCCGGCTCCAATGTATATGGGAACTACAACGCGTAGCACTGCAGTCAGCATAAGTATAAGGGGTAGGAGGGTACGTATATTTGTCTATATTTGTTTGGCACCGTGCGGCCTCCAGCCGCTTTATCGCGAGACGAAATTCAGCAATTGCTCAGCAGTTACAGTACATAGGTCCATGACGAGAACCTCTGCGTACTTTATTGGGTCAGTTGGGTTTCTGCTAAGAATCACGCCTTCGTGTCTCCTTTTACTCGTTCTTCCTGGCAGGATTCAGTCGACCACAACTACCGCTGTTTGACAGCCCTTCCGTCATGTACAGTCTTCTAGTTTTCTCTGTATCTTCTCTCAGTCAGAAGGATTCCCGCACTCACAGACTGCCCGCGTTGCTTGATACGAGGCGAACACATAATTCAGTAAAATGTCTTATCTGTACTACGTTTGTTTTTCTCTAGAGGTGGTCACACATTCCAATTTGCTGCGAACAAGTAATTGTTTATTCGTGTGATGAGCATAACCATCCGGTTAGATCAAATACTTTTTTTTCGTGACAGCTGTCTCTACGAATCATACATATAAAGTTTTAATTAGGGTAGTTGTTTGATTTAATTTACGATTATTCATGTGAATGCGATGCAGTGGTCTTTCCCTTGGGCTGTGCGACGCCTTTGACTTATATTTTTGTTTCTATTGTATCTTCTGAAACTGTATACGCGAGGCAAACACCGACTCGCTGAATCGTCAAAATAACGCATCCTTTTTTCTTTCACGATGCTTTTCGTTTACCCAGAGCTTTATTTTTTCGGCTGTAATTTTGTTTCGGTCAAGTAGCAACCAAGTATCTCATTCAGCGATGTCGTTCCATAGAAAACGTTTCTGCGTGGGGAAGGTCTTGTTTTACAACGAGCACGCGTCATCGAAAATGAGCGGGGCTCAGCGAAATGCTTTATAGTACCCTACGCGCTTTTTAAAAGCGTCCGTAATTATAATTGCCGCTGTTTGTTCCGTTTGCGATGTTTGCACTTCGACAAAAAAAAATCGCTGAAGCAATCTCTATGATTGAAGAGGGATGTTTATTTCTCCGCATCCTCAGAATTTGGTACACGAAGCAGTTTTTTTTTCTTCTCCTTCTCCGTTGAAAGAAAGAGTCGTGCAATGTGAATCCGGTCTTTTCTGAAGACAGCGGCAACGCAGGAGAACGCCCGTGAGCGCGAATGGCAAGGCGAGGCGCTCCACACAGTGTGCCTCTCTAAGTTCGGCTTACGTTTCGAGTAAGGAACGCTGGATCCTCTTCCCCTTCCTCCTCTTTCGCGACCTCTCCCCCAGAACGGCGAGCTTCGGGTTACGAGTGCCGCCACCTCATTAGCGCGAGCCGTACGTCGAACAAGAGAACGCATGCCGCGATAGAGGGCGCCCGTCCATTGTTGTCGCTCGTGGCGTCATTGCTCCTCCCTCGCCCCTTCAGCTAGCGGAGTAACTGACGACGTCTAGCCTCGAGGCTTGTTGCACGGCTTGCAACACGAACCACAAGCGGTAGGAACTGTGTGCTCTCATTGGAGATGCAAACAAATAGAGTACTCAAATGGGCGCGCTCTGAAAAACTTGCCCCCCCCCCCTCGGTTGTTTTCAGCCACGGGTGAGGTAAAAGGATCCGCTAAATTACTCATCATTGTGAACGTCCGTTATTAGTGGCAGTGTCAAGTTGTTATGATACACAAACGAGCGGGGTTGTGATTAAAATTAAAAAAAAGATTGCTTCTGAATGTCGCTACATCAGCGAGTTTTCGCGGAAATGTATTTCGAGCGAGTGGCGTTTGTTCATAACAATCGCTGCTTCGCAATCAAGTCGAGCTTTAAACGAAACGTAAGTTGTGCGGCACAGGAAAAAGCTCTGGAAACATGAGATGTCTTCGGGAGAATATTCGCTCGCATTGAGGTTGGCTTACGGGAGTGCCTTTTAACAAATTGCGCTGAACTTCTCGGGATACACATTTTCGCTAGCTGATAGATGCAGACGTAGCGTGACCATAAGTAACAGGCTATTGTGATTGGTTAGAACTTTAGTTCATGTTCTCTCAGATAATGGCTTTGTACCAAAAAAAAAAAACTGTGGAGGCTGTAGCTTAATACTTACTCTTCCGCAAGTCTCGTATGTCATGATGCCTGTAAGACCTAACTGGGTGTTTATAGCGAGGCTTCGCGCTGTGTTATCTTCACTGTACAAATCGTCATAACCGACCAACGTTCGCGGATGCATGTATATCCCGTGTTTTATTGCACGGACATCATCACCGGCTCACATTTCGTACCTTCGAGTACAAAAAGCAAGAGATGGACATTCTGCGTATCAAGTTTTTCGTTTGAAAAATGCTGCTGCTGTGCTCGACCATAAACCAAACCAAAGATGGTTTACTTCTACATGTAAGCTTGCCCATACGACACATTAAGAAAAACGGAACAACTTTAATAACGTTAATGCTTATATGTTGCTTTGAATGGAGCCCCTTGTTCGGGTTCCCGCTGGCTATTGCGAGTGTGGTCAACGCCGACAACGCTGACGCCCTATACTTAAGTAAATCTCCTCACTTGAATCTTACTTTCCCTTCGCCGTGTTCCTTGCGCGGCTTCTCATGGTCAGAGTAGCCGTGATAAGGCGAATATCACCTACATGGTGATCAAGTTTGGGCTGATTGCTAAGGAAAATCTCATAAGTTTCCCATGTTTTCTTGTATTCCTACAAACGCGAAAAGAAGTGCATACATGTTGAAATCGCGTGTGCGGGCTACGCATTGCCTTCTTTAATCCCGCTATCAGATCACAATTAAACGTTGCCAGTTCGCACTTTGAAGACCTGCCTGAGCAGACGTATCTATTTTTGTTCCAGATTCACAACACGTATATCGAGAAATCTTTGACTCTCCGAATTTCAGTAATACACGTTGAACTCAAGCAGCTGAGTTTGTGCACTAGCATGCCCTATTGGCCTACGAAAGCCGTTCAAAGCTGCGCTACTCTACGTACAGGCTTTAGCAGTGAGCTGTAGAGAGCGACACCTCTACGTTCACTGCGGCAGCCACAGGCCGACACTCTTTAACGCTGTGACAGCAAACAGAACGAAAGATTAAAAAATAAATAAATGGACAACATTTATGGACACACAAGTATATGTTGGGGCAGGGATTTTACCCACAGGATCGTACGTGTTTGGTATGTGTATCACCCCATCCCTCCATAGATACTTAATGCCCGGGTGTATACGCACGTATATATAGATGGATAGCCACAGAAAGCAGCGTGACACGTAGACAGGACAGCAAGAAAGGCGAAGAACCTTACCTGTACCTTCAAGAAATCGGAGAAAAGCGGAAAAAGGGGAACGCCCGGATGAAGGACGCTGACCCAGAGTAGACGTCCGTATCAACATGCACTGACAAACACTGGACACTGCCGCTACCGCTTGTTCGGGTGTTTTCATTATTTTTTTTTCCTCGTCCACGCAGCCCGCTGTGACGTAAGTCGTCTCGAAAGGGCTGTTCTGGGATGCTCCTTTGTTTAGTTCTCGAATGTTCGACATTCGCAAGCAGAATGTGGCAAAGAAAAAAAAGTCAGGTATACAGTGACAGCGACAGTGTGTCCTTGTTATGCAACATTAGTATAAACAAATTGTGTAACAGAACAGTCTTACTGAACAAACGTAATCACACATTGTGACAGTAGTGCAGTAGTCATCGCATAGCATTGACGCAATTCCTTTCATATGGCAAACTCTGCAGATTACATAAGAGCAAGTGCGATGCTTGTCAATTTTCTATTGTTCAAGTGTTAGGGGTGGGAAGCAGAATGCGGTGTCCATGATTTCCCTGTAGAACATTTAAGGCGGACGCAATATATGCAAGCAGTGACATGCTTTATTGCCGCAATAAGTTAAGCATCTTGATTTCTTCTTAAAGGTAAAATGCAAGTAACGTATGTGAAACTACTCTTTTGCGGCTAAGCCTGTTGTTTTACAAAGTAGTACCAGTGCTCATCAATCTCATCAATGGTGACAAAGGCTAAGAAACAAAAGAAACAAAAAAACTGATGAGGCAAACTATATGTGAGGTCGTCGTGATCGTAGTTGTTTTTTTTTTTACTGTTTCTCGTGTAATATACAACGATGTTCCTTGTCGTGACGGTTCATCTGCCTGAAGTATAACAATTATTTTTTTCAATATTAGTTAGCGAAGATGTGGAACGCGCAGAATCGAACATACCACGCTCGTCTCGGACCCACGATTCTTTACGTCGCTAACGTGGCCTTTAGACTCGTTCAACCAAGCGTCTTTGACGGTACTGTGCGTAGAGTATAACATTGTCTTCTTCAATCACACAACTGTTTTCCTAGCCACTCTGCCAGCGAAGGGGAATGCCATTGACGACGCAAATTACTCTATTGTGCTGCTACACGGCGAAGCAGTTGGGTCGTGCGCTTAGCGTGAATAACGCGGCCTTGATTGGAAGTCGGCTTTGTTCTTGATGCACTTTATGCACCGCACGTATTGCAAAGTCAACTGAGCCGTAAATAAAAAAAAAAGCAGTGGAGAAACGCCCTTCCCCTCAGCTGCCTCCACCTCTGTGCAACATCGATCGGTGGTCGGGTACTCTCTCATTTTATTCGCTTTTTTTTGTTCGTCCTGGATCCTCAGGAGCGAGCAGAACTTTCGAAAGGGAAGTGGTGTCGGAAACCCCGTCCCCTGATTGAATTTAAGGTTTGTCCGCGTCGGCGCATTAGCACAAAAGACCATGAGGACCAAGCCGAAGGCGAGTCTGTCGATAGCGACAAAAACAGAAGAGGTAAAAGAAGAAGAAAAAATAATGGGACCAGGAAATAGCTTTCAATCTTTCCATCGGCTATACCTTTCGCTTCGTTCCTTTTGTCGCCCGGCCGCGCGCCCTCTAGGGTGGGGTCATCAACGCACGGACGTCTGTGCCTCCCAGTGAGACGAGTGTGTATCGGGTGCCCGAAAATTCTCGCCTTTCGCTATTCGGTCTCAAAACTCATTGGTGTTTATGGTGTAACACTCTGGACGGAGAAATTGTTTACCTTGCCAGTGTAAAGGCGCGATCCTTTTCGGGCCGTGAAACTCGTTTCAACGCTGCTGCGCGCACCTCTTTCAAGGGCAAAAGTATTGGATTTCTTCACTAATGAAAAGGTCATTCTGTCTTGTTTGTTTGTCCATTACGGTCGCGTGAAAAGATGCGCTACTTCTTTGCGCCAAGAATGCGGTTTTGTGTTCTGGTCGCGCCTGTTTGAGGGCCACTCGCCACTGTGAAATCATTGACAGGGATACTCTGCTGAGAAAACGTGAGTATTCGGAATCGCATTTTCCCACTTTGGAGCTGTTAAGGTTGCACATATTTGGACTGTGCTTTCTGTACCTTCTTGCATGCTCTATTATTTCTTTCTTACGTGCCGTGAGCGCTTACACTGACTCGGCATAAGCGAACTTATCGCGAGAACTGCAAATACGAGAACTGCAAATACAAGGCCTCTGAGGACTGGCTAGAACGTCATAGGAAATTCGACCTGAAAGGTTATCTTAGGGCGCATGACTCGCATTAATGATAGGAAATCCTGTTTTTTTTATAAAAGGTTTCTTCGTACGTAGTTATGTATGATCTCGATTGGCTATCAATAGATAATGACCGACGTCAGATAGCTTAGCCACTGATTAGTTAGAAGGCAGGACACTTAGTGGTTATTTTCATGAGCAATAGATAAAGATGAACAACCTAACCTAAATCTAAACTTGAATATCAAAGTGTTTTTTTCACTTTTTACTGATCTTAGACTGCCACTTTTCCTACGTTTGTTTCTGTGCGAGTGCACGGGCTAGAAAAAAAAAGTGTGTAATTTCCCTGAATCTCAGCATCAGCATTGCATAGCATTGCCTTCAGGTGAAAGAAAATGGGAAGAAGCATCATAACTCGAACAGAAAAGTTTTAAGGTCCAAGATAAAGGATGCGAAGAGAGTCAGCATAAATGTGAAGTCAAGATGCATTTCAGTATCAGCCGTTCTTTCTCGTTTTTGGGCGTTCTGGTGAAGTGAAAGAAAAGATCGGGGACAAAAAAAATACAGGGACAAAATGTGGGTCTGCTAAATGAGACAGAGAGAGAGGGGAAAATAGAAAGAGGGACAGAGAGAGAGAGAAAGAGAGCGGAAGAACTGCGCGTATCTTTGCATGCCGCTCGCAAATCATTCCACGCTGGACGGTGCCTTCCCTCGGGAGCGGACGCGGCTCTGCACGCGAGTCCATCGCCAAGAGCGCGACCTTTATCAATGTCGCCGAACTTCACTCGTTGCTTCGTTGTCACATTTTCTTTCGATTTTCCAGTTCGAACTTCTCGAAAACCTGCGCGTCGCGTCAGTGCGCCGTCGTTTTTCGCCTCCTTATTACAGTTCGCCCTCACCTATACTTTCAACAGCGAACACGGGAGATACACGTAAAAAAGTTTGTTTCTAGGCACGAAAAAGATGTCACCGATGTCCTCTCTGTCTTCGCTCTTCCCTCCTCGTGTCGGCCGCACATCTTGCGGGGGAAAGACTTCATAAATAAGGCCTTGGCGCTACGCGGCCGTGTGACTGCACCCGACAGGCGAAGGGCGGTCTCCGCGTACCTTTGGGTGCGAGCGGCGCGGGCGTATATCTTCATTTGGCGGACATGACGGGCGCACTCGAGCCCTTTCAGCCACGTGCTACGGCGAGAACCAGTCATCTCTCGAGAGACGCCAGCAGCCGCCGCCATTTTTACGCCCGTCAACTGACTCCCAGCACAGAGGGCTCTGCAATACGCGGAGGCTCATTTCTTTGTAACAACTTCTTCGGGTCGCGGCGATCTCGTGTGTGTGAACTAGCACACTGCGAAATATGTCAGTGGTCATTAAAGGGCCTAACGCTTTTCGAGAAAAAGTGTATTTTCCCTACATTATTCAGGCCTTCCTTCCTCGCGAATGTCCCTGCGTGGTCTGGTAGTGACCGTAGAGGATCTTTTTTTGAACGAAATGCAGAAAAAGAAATAGAACTGCTTTTCTGTAATAAACGCTGAAACATCTATCATTCTCAGTTAGTAATCGTGGTTCTTTCGAATGTACGCGTATACATACTTTGCGATGGAAAGTTCAGCTGTCTGCGGTTTTAGAAAAAAAAAGAGGAGGTGGGATTCGAGAAGTGCTGTGCAGGTCATTTTTCTCTCGTTAGATAAATAATAGAAGCTTTTGAGTCCAGTTTTTTTTTTCAGGTAAATGACTTTTCTACTTCTTAAACGTTCAAACTTAAACGCGACATTCTACGCTGACGCTATTCGCGAGGTGTGATGTGCTGCAAAGAGTAATTACATTTGATTCTCTCTCCACGTAAAAAAGCTTTTTGTTTAAAACCCCCTAGACGTTTGACTCTGAACATTACGACTTGGAACGAAAAAGCGGTGAACTAGGCGCTTTCTCATGAATTCAAGTTTGAAATAAAAAGAACTGACGAATGAATAGCAGGGAGGAGCGTGGGAATATAAAAAGCGAGGCAGTGCCGTATATTTAATTAGTTATCCGTGATTATCAAAGAAAATACTTTTTTGTCACTGAGTCACGTGTCTTGGGCAATGCTCAGTCGAAGCCGGTACCGTGTCACCTTACGTTACCTATTATTTATCACCGTTCCCATCCCTTTGTGTTCATGCTGGAATAGATCAGGTGTGTATGAAGTATGAGGTACTGACGATCTTTTTAACACATCGCTTCGACGCTCTGGACAGCTACACCGAAAGCTGAACTTTTAGGGAGCGCTTACTAAAGTACGACTGCATTTGGAATGACGGAGTCTCCTCATGAACGTATACACGGGCCGCCATTATAGATTGCCCCCGAGTGCCAAATTCTGGCTTATCTATCTCATGAGCAGAGGTATTTGTTCATCAAACCGCCTTGTTCTTGACAACGTTATCTTTATGTGGCTTATGATTACAGGTCGCATTCTGATATGAATGTTAATGACGACGCGTTGCAATGGAATCGTGACGAATCGCCTTTGGCGAAAAGTTAGTTGCGCATTTTCCGCGCTTACATCGCAGTTACGACTTCTTCGCGGAAGTTGCGTATTGAATTAGCATGCAATATGTGGGAGGTAGAATAAAACTAATTTCTCATCGCGCTTCAGAGTTTAATCTGAGATTCTATATTTGCGGCCAGGGTGGGCCTGTCATCGGAGATGGATGATAAAAATGAATTAGATACGACCAATAATAATAATAATAAAAACGATTGGTACATGCCCGCCTTGTGCGGCCTTTTCACTCGTATATTGATTGATAATCGGCGTCGAAAAAGCTGCATTGTCAAATGTTTCAGAATTAAATAAAGTGTGTGAAACACCCGGAACTCAACCTAACTATGAGTCATCGAGTTTGATTTGACAGCGCCTAAGTGCGCTTGTATACACTACAAGTTTGAAATTTCAGATGAGAGCTGTTTCTTTGGGCAATCTCTCTCTCTCTCTCTCTCATTATTGCAACAAAATAGAAATTGAGGAATGAATACTGGGGCAGATGCAACGGGTTACAAAGGAAACTTACTTTGAAAGGAACGTCGGTACAAAAGAAGACAGCCAATAACGAAGCATAAAGTGAGGGCGTGAAAAGTGGTAATGGAAGGTATACGAACGAAACTCCGAAGAACACAAAGGGCTGTTTCGAAAATAATAATGAAAGGACGAAACAAAAACAAAGGTTCTCGAAAGATTGCCAGAAGCGGGCCACCAGGGGCGCACCGAAACATGGCTTTAGTGAGATCGGGACGTGATCGAACAAGATATCGTGAGAACAATACCGTGAGAAGATGAACACGAAGGAAAAAGAAAGAAGCGAACAAGAGGAGAGCGGAAAAGGAATGATTCGAGAAAATAGAAAAAAAATGTAAGTGGAAAAATTAGAAACTTACCCAGGACCAACGTCGGCCAGCTCTCCATTCTGGCTGTGAGACCCTTGAGAAAGATTTGGTGAAGAAACATGAGCGTCTCACTGTAAAGAGAAACGAAGACGCGGAGAGTTTTCCTTTGCGGGCGCTGCTAAAGTGTACCTATATACAGAAAGGGTCGATACTGCGCGCTGTCCGGCTCGTCGAACCCATAAGCCCGGTAATCTTTTCCATGATTCGAAGGTTAAGCACCCAACATTCAACCGTGGCAGATGCACCCCACTGAACCTTTGGCGAAGGTCAACCGAAGGCTATGCGATAAACCCTGGCTGGTGGATTTGATATAGACGCACTTGGCTGTGTTCATCTCAGTCAAACGTTGTTGGGCTGGTCGGCGCACGCGTCCTGGTGTAAGAGGACGCGACACACCTCACCATACGCCTGTTTCTTTCCCCTGGAGTATACTGCGCATTTTATTCCACGAAGCTTCTGTCAGTCGTTGATGGGCGTTTTTCAGAAGGCTGCATGTCATCTTTCTGCTCCAGTCACGTTGACGATACAGTGACTGCCCGATGCTGAGGAAACTCCGATGTTTGCATGCACTTAGCCACTTATGTGAATTGAGAAGGGCACGTGAAACGGCCTTATGCGCGAAGCACACCGAGAAGCTGGGTCCCTCTTTTTCAGCGTCGCTTTCACGTCTCCATTTGCTCCACCAAGTAGAGAAAGGGAGAAAAGGGAGAGAGAGGGAATAAACATCCCTATTCTTACAATGTACATACGAGTCTTTAGTACACAGGGCCTTGATCTTGAGCTGTGCTCTGTGCGCCCAGCAACCAACCAGTGCTGATCCTCAAGTTTGGAGCTGACCGTGACACTACCCATAGCTCATTAGTGTGGTAAGATATGAGCGTTCTAGTACTGATTGGACCCACACAGTCAGCGAAAAAAAATTTAAACTTAAACTCTGAACCTCCGACTGATAAGCTGACTGATGAGAACAAAGAAGTGATCGTAGGACATCGGTCATTATTAGAGATACTTCGCATGCTCATTGGAAAGCGCTCATCGCCGAACATTCAGTATGCACAAAAACTTCTTAGGTAGGCACCCCACGACTCGTCCATTACTATCATTTAGTAATGAGGACATGCATATGTAGGAGTCAGGGGAAGATGGGCGTTGGTGGTGAACAATTTGTAAACTGCGGGTGTTAGAGCAGATGTTTTCACAAGCGGAATCGTCTTTTACGGGCTTGCAACTGAACGAATTCAATATACAAACTCCAGTCGCAACCTTGAGGAAGTCAAGTCGGCTTGTTCAAACGACATCCCCGGTTTACAAATTTTTTACGGCATGCGTATCGTAACGCCTGCATGAGGTCACGCATCGTATTTTGCTTTTAGTGTACATTTGCAACTCATAATTCCACGACTGCAGTTCCTGAATCTACCAACCTGTCAAAATACGAACCACTTTTCTGTTTTCCATCATGCATTGACGCAGCAGTGTTCTCTTTTTTTAACGTCACTCAATTTTTCGTGTACATGATCGCCACTATCTTTCAATCTTTTCATATCTAAATAGCCTTGTACGAAAGTAGGATATCATATCAGACGTACGCCAGATTGTTATTCTCCTCGTTCTTTTATTCCTCCTATAGTCACATACAACGTAATGAAGTCTGCAGAGGCCCACCCAGATGATCAAAGCACGGCAGACGATCGCCTCTGCGACTAAAGAAATAGTCCTAACCATGCACTCAGTAATGTTCTCCGAAGGCGTGGCTACTCCTTATCCTTCGAATGGAATCTGGTGTTCACCCGCCGTCCGTCCGCCTCATGACGTCAGCTTGGAGTGCGTGCCCATTGGTGTACGCTTGTGCACATCCGCCCTTCAGGAGGAAACGCCACAGACTGCTCAAGTCGTACCCCACTATAGACAACGCCTATCGAATCTCCTGGATGCTATCGCCTCACAACACGTCAAATTTTCATATTCATGCTGACGATCGGTATATATTTTTCTAATGCATTAAAGTATGTTTCAGGTAACTGTGCTCCGCTTTTTTGAGAAGAAATCGGATTTGACGGACGTCCTTTATCAAGACCGACTGCAACTGATAATCAGCTTATATGTGGAGCAAGCTGCTCTAATGAGCTGAGCTGCTAGATGAACACATACTGTGTTGTGCAAGGACTCTTGGCGAGCGTAGAATAAGTCGCGTCCGTGACAAATAAATAGATCAGTGTCGACTTTGAAATAGTTTGGCGGATGACTGGGCTACGTAAATGCCATTGGCGTAAACGACGTGCACTAGATGGTTCTGCATTATCTTCATTAAACTGGCGTTTCTGTATGCGCGTTGCTAAACAGTTTCTACCTGGCGCCTCTTGCTTCACGTGTGGTCTGCTAACGAGAACCGGTGATAAACGCCACGATAAAAAAATTGCAACAGAGACGCCAGGCACGTTATTACATTGCGCCAGTAGACTGCACATCGGCGATTATTCGCCCGTCTAATTCCATAAAATGTTGCTCAGTTTTTTTTTTTCAATATCTCAAACGTCTGGAACGTTCACAACTACTTTTTTTACTCGAATAAAGTGTCTGGCAACTTCAATTCGACGATGCAATGCAGGCATGTCATGAAGGTTTTGCAATGCAACCTGCTCGTCTGCGATGCATTGTGTGCGAGCAATGACCTGCTGAAGGTTTAAAAAGAAAAAAAAATAACAGAAGAGACTTTGGGGGCCGCACCACATTAGGAAGTTTGTCGCCGCTCGAGGCAACCGTAAGCCGACAGTTTCGATGGGCACGATTTTTGTAACATGAGGAGCTTTTAAAGGCCTGGAGGCAAGGAAGAATTCAAAAGCCTCAGACACTCGGGAGAAAAAAAATGCTGCGTACCGACAAGAACAGCTGCAACAGCCCAGACAATGTTGACGATACAGCATCGAAGACAACGACGACTGCAGCGATGAGTAAAGATGACAATCACAACTTTGTGAAGGCGTTTGTTAGAAAAAATTCCTAACCTGTAAAGAAATTTTGTAGCACTGTGTTTTTTCACTAACCGGCTTATCTACCATGCTATAGCGTTGCGGTCTACCGTGGCCCCCGATCTTGTTACGAATTACTTTTCTTGTGAAGGGTCTGAATTCCCGCTCGTTCAATCGAGTTTCACTGGATGAATTCGCTCGAGCATCAGCTGAACAGCAGACTATTATGCGAAGGACAATTGGCAGAACATCATAGTGTAGAGACTGCCTTCGTATCAACTGATGAAGGTAATGGGTCAAGTCACATTGTCTGTTTTTTTCTAACGAAAATTAGTGGCATCTTTAGGCACCGTAATAAGTGATCAAATGTACATACTATGAAAAAATAGTGTGTGAGAAAAAAGCAAGCAGCTAGTGCTGTTTGGAAAGCACCATCTATGTGGCGTTAATAAGTCGGAGTGTGACATGTCGTGCAGGGAAAAGCCAAAGATGTAGTTTTAGCGGAATACTTCTACGTCATAAAGGAAAATTAGAGGAACGAATGGGCACATAAATTAGGCACTTCTTTCTCGCGGCACTTCGAGATTGTCCGTGAAAGCAACGTAACAACTGATACAGTTGCCCTCAAATTAGCAAGGAGTTCCCTTCAACCTTGATAAGATTTCACTTCAATCCCATTTAACAAAACTGCAAATGACCGTAATTTTAGTGTACGCCGTTCTGGCCACACGGGCAAGAAGCACTCTCCGCGGAGCCGCGCGTAGCTGCCTCCTGAAAAAATGTCTGTGTACTCGCCTGTTCAGGAATATAGAGTTGACTTCGTCATGTGTGCAGGGAGGTTTCTGAGAACTTGCCGCCATCTTAAATGGCCTTAGGAAGCATGACACCAGCAGCTGAAGCTGCTCAACGTATTCTTCTTCTGCCTCCACCATCCGGAACACCAGGCTGTGATTAGGAAAGAGAAAAAAAGAAATAGCACGATGAATAGGTAACTGGGTTAACTTTGTGTCAATATCCATTAATATAGGAGAGACTTGGAGTCAGTATCAGTGACCAATACCCCTGGAACCTTTTGTTTGCGGTCGACGCTGTCCTGTTCAGTAACATGAGACGACCAGTGAGCGCAACCAGTATTAAAGACATAAGCTGAGAAAATTGAGTAGTAGATTAGTTGGGGGATTTGATTGGTTATGGGGCTTAACGTCTTAAAGAGAGTTGGCGTATGTGGAGGAGGCAAGAAATCGAGTTAAAATGCAGGGAATTTACACAGTAAAGCACCTGAATGGCCACTTTACGCTGGAGGTATGGAAAGGGGACTATAAAGGTGAGAGTGGAGGAAGGAAAGAAGTAAATTATATGTGAACTCGCTGAGGTGTGCCGCACTACTCCACTACACTTCTAACCACGTAACCTCTATGTCTCTACTACAATTTAACCTAAAGGTTACATGGTCCAACGTTTCCATGCTTTTTGTCCTTGCGAGTTTTTAAATGTTTACGTGGTCATTGAGGTCACAACATAACTTAAAACTTTTGTGGTTAGTGTGTACGTTCATAGCCGACCGAGTGTGCGTTGTAGAGTCAGAGCAATATGAACAAGCCTGTTGTGCTCAAGTTCACTGACTTGCGAACCAACGAGCGATGGGTGTGGTGCTCTATGGCAGCATATGAATGGAAACTGTGCGCATCCTCCATTCTTTCCGTCGTGTTTGAAAAAGCGTCGTGGTGGATTAGTAGAATTAAAGAATGAGATTCCCAAAACAAAAGCAGCGATCAAAAGTCAGATCAGAGAACAAAACTCTGTGATTGTCGGTGAGCCTGCAGTTTGAGAGTGCGTCTAAGTCGATTCAGAGAACCAAGAGCACAAGATGAGTGAAAATAGCTTAAGACGCATAGCGCAGGCCTCACTAGATCATCACTAACAGTCTACAATTCGTACAAGAAATGGAGAGAAACCACATGTGCGCAGGGCGGGTAATCCGTCGTATTGTAGAGTTGCTGAACAGATGCTAAAGGAAGTGCACAGATAAATGGGGGGGGCGGGGGGGGGAATCGACACGTTTTCTTAATTTGGTAGAAATAAACTGATGCTCAGATACTTCTTTCATGATTAATTTTGCTTGTTTACTGAGGGTATGAAAATTACTCCTATATCAATAATTCTTACCGCCAATTTCTCCTTAACAAGCAGGCTTTAGGTAACCTCTATAGTAAGCACCGATTAGTTATGTCAGGTAATCTTACTTCCTAGGTAACAACTTCCTGTAAGTAACGCCGTGACGCTTAACTCAGCTACTTTGCTCTCGCATAGCAGAAATTCATTATACGTAATAATTCAAAGGTCCTCGTGTACCGTTCACATTTGCCAACGGGGTCAGACTTTGCGTTGCGGAGTAAGTGAAAAAATTCCGCCATATCCACGAAGTGAATGATGATGAGTGGGCGAAGCTCCGGAAGTAAACCTGGTAAACCATGAATCCTCTGTACATTTTGCCCACTCGATTTTATTACATCGCCCCCCCTAGCGTACGTCGCCGCACTAAATCGAACGATTGCCTTCAACCAATGACACGCGCCATATGTGACATCATTCCTAATTTATAAGATCTCGCGTCTTTCATCAACTACAAGTACCGCTTTCTAGTTTATAACATCTTGCATCTTTTCATCATCAGCTACAAGTACCACCATCTAGTAAACACTACAAGAACTAAACGAGAGGTGGCTACATACAGGAGACGGTACCGCCATCTAGTGAACACTGCAAGAACTAATCTAGAGGTGGCTACATGGATGGATGGATGGATATGGCTGTACCCTTTATATCGGGCGGTGGCTAGCGCCACCAAGTCGTAACATATAATGAACCAAAAACTATATTTATTTTTTTTCTTAAAAAAGAGTTTGAGGATTCGTACTTTGCAGTGAAGAGTTTAATTTTCACTCGCGCCTTGACTTTAGCCACCAATCAGACAACCTCCTTCTAGTGAAGTCTACCCGCTTAAAGTTTATTTTGCCCTCCCGGTCCCTAAACCCCAGTGCTTTGAAAAACTCTGCGCCATCATCCTGAACTATAGGGTGAAGCCCTTTACAGAACATTATCAAGTGTTCGGCAGTTTCTTCTTCCTCTCCACACGCACTGCATACTGTGTCTACCCCTTCGTATTTGGCCCGATATGTCTTGGTTCGCAGTACTCCCGTTCTGGCCTCAAACAGTAGAGAACTACCCCGAGTATTATCATAGATCCTTTCCTTGGCAATTTCCTGCTTAAACGTTCGATAGACCTCTAGTGCGGACTTCTTAATCATGCCCATTCTCCACATGTCAGTCTCCGTTTCCTTCACTTTCTTCTTAACCGATAGTTCTTTTTGGTTTGGCCACCTGCTTTTTTCTAAGTATTTACCAGTCAACTTCCTGGTTCGCTTCCTCCATTTTGTATCGACATTATTCATGTACAAGTAGCTGAAAACCTGCCTAGCCCAACGCTCTTCCCCCATTCCTCTCAATCGCTTCTCAAATTTTATCTTGCTGCTAGCTTCCCTTCCCTCAAATGATGTCCATCCCATTACACCTTGTACTCCCTGATTTGGTGTATCCCCGTGAGCTACATACAGGGGACGGTACCGCCATCTAGTGAACACTGCAAGAACTAAACTAGAGGTGGCTACATACAGGCTACAGGGGACGCACAGCCCACGCCCTAAGGAGCTTCGCCCCTAAAAAGAAGACAGCTATAAGGAAGACAGTCGCGGCCGCCTAACCAGGACACTTCTTGGTAAGAACCGTCAGCTGGCCGGGCACTCCTGCAGTGTTTGCTCCCGAAAATAAGAAAAAGAGAGAGAGGGAGAGTCAGAACGACGTCACGACTCCTTAACATTCTTTCCACCTGGCCACACAGACCTTCGAGGTCACGAGTGGCCGATGACAAACGCACCGCGTCTCGCGCTCTCTTCCAACTTTCGAGCTCAGTCTCTGAAAAGCTTCGCGGTGGTCGACTCGGCATAAGCGGCTGACGCGGTTCGCTTCGGGCGGCCTACTAATTGGCTGCAGAGTTGATTCCCGCTAAGCCCATTAGCACGCGCGCGGATAATCGAATGACCGCTCGGGAGGCCGTCGTTCCTACATAATTAACGCTGCCACTGGTGCCCCAACTCTTCGCGCAGTACACGAACGACGACGAATGCCCTTCTAAAAACCTCCTCACCCCGCTTTTCCTTTCCTCATTGAACTCCCGATTCCACATCCACTCATTTTGCCTTCAGCCACCATCACCGCAGCGTGCACCGAGAATTAGTTCCGCTCTATTGGCGAAAAGAAGAAAAAATCAATGCGGGAACGAAATCTGGTACTCTCCCTTAGCAGCTCCCTCATATATTTTATTTTCAGATTTGTGACCGAAGCACATGCCCCGGTGATTTTTTTTTAAAAATTAATGTGATTTGACGCGAAAACTTGTGGTTGCTCAGTTCGCCCGGCAGTTTATTTCTGCTCTTTTCGCCGCTGTCATTTAGAGATTGTTCCGGAACGCAACGTTGACATTTGGTTCCGGCGGTGAGTGTATCAACAGATGCTGACTTGAGTCACCTTAGTACGCGGGGATGCGAGCCGCCGTAGAGCACCCTGTGTGGCAGCCTGCAAAATTAAGTGGTAATTCATGTAGAGAAATAAATAGAGAGAGGGAGAGAGAGAGAGAGACTGAGCACGTGCTTAAGTAGTGTAATCGTTATTGTTGGGGAATCCTGCGGCTTAGTCGGTCTGTAACCAAACTCAATTTAGTTTTAACCCTTATTCTTTCGTTAATCGCCGCATTTTGGGCGTCCAAGTTCGTTTCTAAGCGTTCACCTCAATAGGCGCATTTCCTATAGTAGAAATAAAATTTCGTGAACGTCTTAACACAACCCTAGGTAGTGGCCTTACCACGAGCGTCAGCATTGCTCATAGCATCCATCCATACCAAGCAAAACTCTGAAACCAAGGAGGCTTAATAATTTTTTACAACCTTCTTGTCTGCTAGTGATCGTGTGTATATTTCTCCTCTTTCTCCTATATCTTTTCTCCCCTTCAATTCTTCCACAGTGCAGGGTAGCAAACCGGACGTCCGTCTGGCTAACCTCCCTGCCTTTCCTTGCATCCTTATTCTCTCCTTGTCTGCAACCTCCAGAACGCGCCTGTTTTGCCTGGACTAGTATATACTATCCTGGATGTAGCTCCCCTTTATTCACCTACGCTCGCCCCGGGAATAATCGCAGCCGACCAAAGGCACGACGCGCGTTGCGTCTCCTTATGGTCGAACAATGGCGTCCAACATGCCGCGAGTTACAGGCTACCTTAGCCCGAGTTATAGTGAACTAGAACCAACTTCTAGTTCACTATAGCCCAAGTTTAGCTTTCGATCTGTCGCGCCCTTCTGGTTGTCACGCCATGTTCCGTGGTTCCAATTTCTCCATTTACTACAGCAGCTACAACAAGCATATATGACCTCAAGCATTTGTTCAATCACTAACGATGGACGTATGCCTAAGCGTCAACGGAGATGAATCTACGTTAAGGGAGAAGTGACATTAACTTCACGGATGTCGCGTTTTTTTTTGCGTCATCGAGTAGTTCTCGATACTCTAGTAACGATTCTGTAGAAATCATGTCACAAAGGGGCAAAATAATGTGTGTAATATCGATCAGTATTACCATGGTATTACCTGTATACAACCCAATTTGAAACGGGTGCAAAACCCACCAATTTTCAGCATTGCCACGCGGTCATTTCTCGTGGTCAACTCACGTGGTCACGCCCCATGTGACCACGTGGCCATATGAAATGGTGACGCGATTTTAAGTTGACACATCTTTCTCTATGGTTGTCATTTCTTCTATTCGGCGCGCACGTGTACAGCCATGCCTTCGCCACAGCCATTGTGGTCGTTGCTGTCACCAGTGTCCGCAAGCGACGATGAAAAAACACGAGGAATGCGCAGTCTTGATGATTCGCGTCGTAGTGAATTATTTTCGGTTTGATCTTTTTCTGAGAAGTGTGCGATTCTGAAGTAGACGCCGGACCGAGCAGCGGCGAGGCAGCTAGGGACGCGCGCTTGGGCCACGCTGGCTCGTAAGACATATGAGCGCTGCGTACGTGCTACTTGCTCCCGATGACCGTAGCTTCAAATAATTACATTCGCGCTCGCGAATCCACGACGAATCACCCCGAGCGGCGCTACAATAAACGCAGGATTCACACTAACGCACTGCAGGAAGCAGGTGAAACAAAGCACTTAAAGCCGTTGCTAGGCAGCCAGGCGTCACCGGTAGACGGCACCACATGTAGACACCGCAATCACAATACTAACATTGTCGACGTCATCGCTGCTCGCTCGTCGTCACTAGGTGCCTGAGCGTCACTTAGGAGCTTGCTGAACACGTCAAAATACTGTTGATGTCTCATGGCTACCGTGCTCATGGCCGGTAACGCGTCGGTGAACATTGGACGATCTTTGTGCTCGAAATAGAATAACCTTTAGGTAACGGATCCGATTCATCGCTTAAAAAAACTCATGCATACCAAGCAATTGAATCAACGCCACATCTTGAGTTTGCAATGCACATGGTATAACTGCTCCTTTAGGCGGTGCTGTGGCTGTCAAACACCAACGAATATTGTGCAAGGTCTGTTGTATTAATGTAGATTAAACTACTTCTGTAAAGACACGTTTCAGTTTCGTGTTTTACCGGTTGCTATGACGAAGAGATCAAACATGTTTTTTTTAAAATCGTGACGTCACTATCGCTGTGGCTTCCTGAACACTTACGGCTTTTGTTACACACGTTGGTGAAATGCACTTCCAGCGGGGGTTTTCTAGGTAAAAACGTTATCGTAACAAAACAGGGAACGAAGCAAAGTCATTTATTTTATTTTCTATAGACACTATTTTATATAGGATTGTCGACTGTAATTCCGAAGAACTACACTGTCATAATTGCACCAGTTACGCTATCAGGCAACCTGAGGCACTTGAATCGGCAGATCATCATGAGAAAACTTGAGTATTTGGCGTCAAGCGATATCAAGAACGTACGGGTCAACCCTCGCAATAACATCCTGGCCGTCGACGTAATGCACCAGCCATCTATCCTATTGACCTGCATTACAGACCTGGATGGTATCAAGGTGGCACATGGTGGCGATACATGATGTTGACATCACCATGACTTGTACCGATCTTGCAATGCTGATCAAGGAAGTAAGTGATAACACCGACATGGTCCAAGTGATATGCTTGGCTAAGTCGCATTGCGCGAATATTATCTTCAGAGGGGACACATTGCCATTCCACATAAAGATAGGACACTTTCTACACGTGGTTCGTCGATTTACAGCAAAAGCACTAGAATGCCACAAGTGTAAGAAAATGGGTCATATGTGTGAAGTTTTCAGGAACGTGGCAGTTTGCCCCCGATAATTGGTGGCCCACAGTGCAGAATCACGCCGTGAAACTACACCGACATGTCCCAACTACCACGGATCACGTGAAGGTTCATCAAGAGACCGTCCGGCAGTGAAGAAAGAATGGAGCGTAATCAAACACAGGGTAAGCGATGGCTCCACGCACAAAGAAGTCGTCGGTATTAGGGAGTTTTAGTGCTGGGTACCCAAGCGGCTTGCGTACGCAGGACGTTGGGGCGGCGGTATTGCGCATGCGCGAAACCCCAAACAGATGCGTCGCAAGATCGCTGGGGCGATGGTGCCATGCGTCCGCGCGGTCCACCATCGCAAGAACTCACGGTATCCGCACTGCGGATACTCTAGCCGTCGAGTTAAAATAAGCCAAAGTGCGAGCACTTATAGCGATTACACGGTTTCAGCCAGATTTCCAAAGCTAGAATGGCCTGGAAGATAGAAACTAAAAAACATATGCCAGCCCCCGACTAGCTGAATAGGTGGCGCCATCTAGCGTGGCCATAGTGAAACAGACAACCACAACTTTGTTATTGCAGAAACATTGTGCATTGTACATCTGGTGCAAAAACTGCGCAGCGACAATATTACAAATGAGTAACCTTTTTATTCATTTTCACCTCAAAAACTTTACGCGTAAGTTAACATGTTCATGACTACGGTTGCACGAAGTGTCACAAGATGTTGACACTGTCGTTACAATAACCTTGTATTTTTCATTTTTTTGCGTATACCAGGTTACTGTACACAATAAAAGAAGTGTCCTGATCACTATTCATGTTTAACTTAACATTTTAAATTATAAAAAGAATTAAATAATACTTACGCGACAAGACGCTATGGCTCTGCGAGCGCGTGTGAACTTCGTGCGGCTTGCGTTTGCGTGCGTGCCACCGTGGCGCCAACTAAAAGGCATTCCGGTTGGGTATGGGTTGGGCACGCAACGCCGCGCGCTCCCAAGCCCGCATCACCCCAAGAGAATGCGTACCCAGCACTAAAACTCCCTATTGTCAGAAAGTGAGAACGACGTTTCCGGCACCGACGAAGGTCAAGAAATACTGCGGCCCAATCTAAACCATCACCTAGATGTCTTAATACAGCGGACCACCTGGCTTCTCATTCGCGACAACTACCAACACTTCTGCCTCAGCCGTCACCACCGCCAACCAACGCGCTACATTCGGAGAGCCCAAAACACGCAGATGGGAGGAAGGTGGTGGCGGATGTCCAGTGACCGTCCTTACCACCACCACCACCACCACCACCATGCGCCTACAGAGAGACAACACAAGTTTCGACTATTGATCTCCGTGACCAAGACCTACATGTAATCGCTTTGTAGAGGTCGCTGGTGAGCACAATACACACACTCCTCACTAGATTGACAACCCCGTACGCTTGAAGCGCACATCAAGTTCTAGATATCTTGGATCCAGTCCTTGCGAGCCTTCTTTTACCTGATAGATTGCAGTGTACTTCATCTGAGACAGTCGAAATCAGCCCGTACTCTGTCACTTCAGTTTGATGACTCTCTGGGCATGCGCTGTACACGCTGCTATGCGTGCTAGTGCATTACTTTACCTCTCTTTCCTTCTCTAATCATTTTTCCCCTTTTCCCCTTTCCCGCGTGAGGTAGCAAACCGAGTTCAACCTGGTTAATCGCCTTGTCTTTTTTTTTTGCTTTTCACTCTTTCTAGTGTATATTGCCTACAAGAAACTTTCGAAAATTCAAGTTAAAAAAAGCAACAATTCAAGTTTATGGTTTTGTCTTCACGGCAGTGCTTTGCAGCTGTGCAAAAACGCTACGTTTGCGCCAATACTATCGTATCGATTCTTCGGTACCAGAATTTAAAATTTTATATGATTAAGGAGAAAAATGAATATTCACCGCAAATATTTTTGAGTGCAAGGCTTATACGCGAGAAAATACTCTTCTTGTATTAACCTTATTTTTCTGTCACAGAAGTGCCTTCCGCAGCTCCACCGCTAACGCGTTGTCAGATGAGCGTCCTTTCACCGAACTCACCTGTTCCGTTTACGCATGTTCTCGGCGTGTGGTGAACTGATGTACTCGGCGACTATTTGCTTCCAGCGACGGCGGCAGAGCCAGCCCCGGAAAAAGCTCTGCACCTGCAAGGATAAAAACTGAAAGATTTCGCAGAAGCTATTCGTTCCCCTTGTGTTTATTTTCCCGAAGTTTCTCAGTGCCCTCAGCACATATTACTTTTGAAAAAAGTATCCATCGGTGAGCTCCTATACAAATATTAGAGACGATCACATCGGGTTTCTGCTGAAGCCCGTGCGATCACACGCACAGCGTAAATATTGGTTGCAGAGCTTATCGGACGGACTGGTCTCGTTTTCGGTTGGAGCTGCACTTTTTGCTGTGACCGTATAACATAGCACTATAGGCATAACTCCCCATACTGGCATATAGAGAAACAAAAAAAAAAAAAACTTTCCTACCAAGCTTACGTCTTTCGATGTCGGATTCAGAAGAATTTCGAACAACCGAGAACCCGCATTTGTTGAGAATGCGGAGAATAAAATTACGATTTTCACGTCGCAATCCTAGGTGTTCTTACATGTAAGCCAGGAGTGAAGGGAGACAATTTTAAGCGCTTGTTTTGTTTTTTTTGTAGGAACAGCAACACACATGTAGCGCACATACAAGGCAAACATACAACCACACGTAGCGCTGACTGGCAATTGAAGTTTACTGCGCCAAGGAACGTAAATAAAGACATATCTAGGTATCACCCTCGCCAATAATAATCAAGAAGAAAAAGAAGAAAGAAATGTACCTAATGGCCACCGATACAAGATGCTTTGAATACACTACAAGCATGGCTAGCATTATTTTCCCGCAGAAAGCTACGCGAATTTTCCTGTCCGATAATAAAACAGGAGTGCTTATACATCTATGTTTTAACGGAGCAATCTTGTCGGTCTCGAAATAATCAAGGATCACAAGATAGACCCACGACGAAGGGTGACACGTGAGTATGCACTTATTTACATCCTTCGTCGCAACTGAACTTCGGTTGCCAGTCAGCGCTACGTGTGGTAGTACTGTTTGCCTTTGCTGCCCTGGTCTATCGCGCCGTTTCTCCTGCAATGTGTTCAACCAACTAGCCGGCAAGTTCAGCCTTCATGATCTCGTTTCTTTCTTTGACGCAACCTTAACGGAATTCAGCAGAATAACGAGGCCAAGAAAGTAAGAGGCGACGTTAGATGTGCTGTTTTAGGTATATTGCCGTTATTAAGATTTGAAGATGCAAAGAAAGTATAGCGGACGAAAACTTGGTTGCAGGTTTCGGACTCTCAATGCCCTTGTCAATCGAGCTACGATGGTGGTCGTCCTCTTGTTCGCTTATCGGGTGTAAGCATGCATGCGAAAATTGGAAGCTTCTCTCGCATTGCTTTCATCACATCCCAATTAGTGCAATACAGTTAAAACAACAATTAGCGTCTCCTGTACCTTCCTTCATTACCTGCTGGTTTTTAGTGAGGAAAGAAAAAAATAGTATTTCGCTCTTAAGTCGGTCTTTGTTGGCACTGCTGGCTTCAATGGCTTCGTGTGTCACCCCGTTGGTGTTTAGGAAGCAGCGATCGACTGTAGGCACCGAAAAACTCGTTGTTGAGCGCTTTGTGGTTGGTCAGGTTAGCTGCGCAGCTTGTCTTAAAGCTTGGCGCTGCTTAGCCTTCAGCTGTTCTTTCAACGTTTACGTCGTGTATTCTACGCATTGCCTTTTCTGCGGCGAAGTTCGCAGAAAGATCAGGCAGCGTTCTGGATGCTAACTTATCTATATGCCTGCTATGTATAATCGTATTATTAAACACGCGCCACCGGGTATTCTACGACGTTTGTAAGGAGTGCGTCAAAAACTAGTTTAAAAAATTTGAGCCACTTCTCATGTTGCGGCTAAACATATTGCTGTGAAGGTCGAACGGAAACAACGCTTTAACAAAGCTACATCGATTAGCATTGAAGGTAATTGAAGGTTATACACCGGCTACAAACCGTCGTGAGCACTGATGCAGCGAAGGAGGTCCGACAGGAACTCGGGCGATTTTTAAAAAGACGGCCTTGAGCGAGTTATACACCTGACACCTGTCCGGCGCTAAGGCCGAGCGCGAGATACCCGTGAGAAGGCAACGACTCCGCTTACGCTCTTTCCTCGCGTCGCGCTCGGCCTCGCGAGTTTCCTCTGAACACAGGCTGGCAGCCCGTGCTCGCTAACCAAATTACCGAGCCTGGTGCGGGCTGAGTGGATTAGAAGGAATAAAATTTTGAGCTCAGTGGGCGGACCCTTCCCGGTTACCGTCTGAAACGTAAACCGGTGAGCGCGCGAACCGAGAGCGCCGATCGCGGGATGTCGTACTGCCTTAGGCGAGATTGAGAAGACGTGATACGGTCGAGTTAGAAGAAGGCGCGTGCGCCTGGGGAAAAGGAGACTCCTGAAGGGTAACCCGATTAGGCTCGGAACGTGTTACAACTTTTTTTGTTGTTGCTGTCGACATTTTAATGAGCATCCCGATGGTAATTACCTTGGAAGTTTCTGCAAGGGCAGGCGTTTATATAGTAGTTCCGGCCTACTTATTGATGCTTTTTCGCTCTTGATCGCTTCGGCCTGAATGGTAGTGCCACAGTATTTCGCTACACTGAAGGCGCTATGACGCGAATGTCGGAAATATAGGAATGTCGGAAATTCCACCTATAGTAAGACGTGATCAGAAAAAGTCGATACCTTCCAGAAACTTGCGATTCATCGAGACATACGATAAATGCCTAAAAAAAGAAAAAAAAAACTGCATTCAATTCTTGATTGGCGTGGCTAGTAAACTCGCGGTAAAAGCAAAAGCTCTTGTCGCTGCTTGTTCATCTTCATTTCAGCAGCGCACTGGGCGACGAGGACTAAGAAAGAAAGAATGTGCACAACGCAGGCGCTGTTTCGCAACTACGTTTTATTAAGAAAAGAAACATGCAAATATAAAGGTGAAAAAAAGAAACAGAAAACAGACAATCTTTGTAATCAACCTGTGCAGGTGGCGCTTATGTATTGGTATTCCGCCTCACTTAGCGTCATAGAAGGTACAGACACATTTTTTCTCCTTTCCTTCGGATGTGGAACGCTTCGTTGACCTCTCTTCCTATCTGTTGTTTATGACGTGACAGTATCTTAGTGTAGGCGAACAATGGAACGCAACCGCACTGTTTACAATGGGCGGCGAGTGAAAATGCTTTGCTGTCCGATAGTGATCGTTCATGTTCCCTAAGACGGATATACACGCATCTTCCGCTCTGCCCAATGTATGTTTACCCGCATGGTTTTCGGCGAGCCGAGCTGGTCATGGTTACGAAATGCGGGCGTGGAAACACGAACACGAAAATCAACAATTAAAACTACGCGGAAAAAAAAATTTCGGACAGTTTGCATTGTGTCGCGCAAAGCTTGGCGCAGCTAAGCATGGGCCCATCGCGACTTCTTCCTCCTCGGTATCTATTTCTCTCTTTCTCATTCTTTTCGTGTTACGCTTTACTCTCCGCCATCCTCTTTTCTCTCCTCCTCATTATCATATTTCTTTCTGACGCTCACTTCTCTTTCCCACCCCTTGCTACACTATGCTATACAAGGCTATGATAGAGTGTACTATAGAACTCTAGCTATGCTATGCTCTGCTAGCCTGCCAAGTGGTTAGGATGTTCGCCTTCCGATTGAGGGTACGGTGGTTCGAATCCAGGATCATGAATACCACCAAATCTCTCCTCTTCAAGCTAGTTTCCCTTTCCGACCCCTTTGCTACACTGCCACAGCAGTGAGCAGAAGGACTTGCCCAAATAATTTGGCATGTAACTGTTCACAATGACAGTTTTGCGGCAGAGTCGACATTACGGTTAGCATAAGCGGCCTCGCTCTTAAGAACAGCGCTGTTATTATCTATTCTCATGCCTGCGTACGATTCCGTACAATCTCGAGGGTTAACTCTTTGGTATTGACAAGTTCTTTTTGTGGAGAGGCAATCGAGGGCGGAATCGCAGACAGATTACCACATTTGTTAACATGTTATGAATCAGGGATACCGCGAATTCTCTCGCTCTTGCATTCAAACAGAAACTACGGTTCCGGCAAATATTGGAGTATAAATATTGCAATATAAATACAGTGAAACGAAAAATTGTGCAGTCTTCCGTAGTTGAAACAACGCTTATGCTCGATTACTATTAAATCGGTAAACATCTTTTGAGTCATGGAAGACGGCTTAACCTTAGGTTGCAATGTCCCGATATCAAGTGAATTTGTTTTTCCTATGCAGTGTAATTTTGTAAAAACAATATTGATGAACTTCGGGTTAACGCCGAGGCTGATCATAGCGTAAATAACAGTGCGCATGCGCAAGAAACATTTTGATTCATAAACAATTGTTGTTTTTTCTGTGACTTTGTGCATGTCTATCATTCACCCAGTTGTCAGTGTTTTCATATGAGCACGTAAGTTAAGCTGTTCTTTCTCTATTTTTTTTTGCTGATAGGAAAACGTACATGTCATGAAAGCTACGTGTGGTTAAATTTTTTTCGTTACTTTTTGTTCCCGAGCGTTCTTCAAGATAAATGGCTTCCATAGGGCTGTATATTCGAAGAAAATTTCTCAGATTACATTAGCAAAAGGGTAAAAGAAAAAAAAAGCGTAAACGACTGTGTCACTAACAGTTATGAATTCAGCCACAACAAAATAGGTTGTTATCTGGCTGTCCAATCATTCCTCTCTAACACTTCGCTAGATTAGACATCGCCACAGTTTTGTTCCCATGAACTTTTTTTTCTTGAATTTACATGGCGCGCAAAGTATAGAATACTTTTATTATCGCTAAAAAAGTGATAGGAAACATTAACGTAAATTGGGAGTTGTAGTCAAGTATTTGGGCAAGTGACATAATTTTCAGCAGAAATAGCCAAAGTTGAAGCGTTTGTGAGAAAAGTTTTTGCCTTTTACGTTCACATACCTTGATAAATTTCCACTAGTGCAGAGGGATATTCATTTATTTATTTATTTATTTATTTATTTATTTATTTTTACCACGAGCTGATGGTACCAGTTCACAGCAGGACCAGTATACATAGAAATATATGAGCTTCAAAGCACTCAGAAATTCACAGCGATTGCAGGAATTGTGCAATAATTAAAGAAGCATGCTGAGATTATTCGTAGAGAACTCTAATCAATATATAAACACAAGAAACTCGTAAGATTTTCAGGCATTTTTCAAGCATTGCTAATGGCTTCTTGGTACCAATATCAGTATTAATTAAAAAAAAGGTGATTGAGGTTTGTACTGTCCCGAAGAAAAAAATAGATATTTAAAAAGTTGTAGCGTTTCTTTAGAGCACCTTGAAGCACATAGAGAAAGGGCATGAGGGAAGTAACTCACTTTTTTGATCTTCTTGATCTCTTCGCTATCTTCGTCCTCGCTACGATGTGGCGTGAGCCTCCACTCTTTCTTCAGCGCACACAGCTGCCCGGCATGTGCGGAGAAAAATACGAACGGAAGGTCAGTGCATCATGACGTCACTTGTCACGTTGTATGCAGTGTCGCAATAGGCTAGCTTTTCCCACGCAGTCGGCTGAACTGTCGCGCGTCTCTTGTATTGCTCTCGAACGAAAAAAATTTACACCATTTTCCCAAAGGGATCTATGATGGCGCGCGAAACCGCAGCGTTGCGCACGGGTGGCGTTACGGGTTGAACGGCGCTGATGATTCCATGTGTGGGGTTTAACGTCCCAAAACCACCATATGATTAGGAGAGACGTCATAAGGGAGGGCTCCGGAAATTTCGACCACCTGGGGTTCTTTAACGTGCGCCCAAATCTGAGCACAGGAGCCTACAACATTTCCGCCTCCATCGGAAATGCAGCCGCCGCAGCCGGGATTCCGATCCTGTGCGTCAGCAGCCGAGTACCTTAGCCTATAGACTACCGTGGCGGGGCGGGTTGAACGGCGCTAACGCGGGTACTGTGGTAAGCATGGGAATATTCGCGAGCGGTGGTCGCGGTAGCGGAGCGAGCGGCAGGTGTTGCGGGTGAAGTGGATCAGGCGGCAGCCGCGGGCGCTGCGGCGAGTGTGCGGTAGGCCAAGAAGAGAGCGACGTCGGCGCGCGCTGCGAGGGAAGCGTGACGTCAATGCGCAACTCCGGCGTGACCTACTTAGCACCGCTCCAACACCTGTGCCGAGGGGAACTCGTTGCGGCGCGTTCTCGCGTACGCGCGGAGAAACGGCGTTACACAGGCTAGTCAAAGAGCTGCGCTCGTCCTAGTCTCTTGTGTTCGTTGTCGGAAGTTTTTCGGGCTGAGAAGTTTAATAATGGATTACCAACTATCCCAATCTAACACTTTACTAGTCAAAGAGCTGCTTCGCATCTAAAAATGCCAGGCCTGTGCGGAATTCGCAGCGCATCACAGCGACAGGTATTGGAGCAGCCGTTTAGAGCCTATTCTAAACACTAATTGGGTAACTTCTACAAGCAGACTTGCTGGGTACCCACTATGCCATAAATGATACGTTTTGTGTAGTAGGTCAGCATTCATTATGCTATCGTTTGTCAGTCTTCGAAGAAGCGTGGTATCCGCTACACACATGCTTAGAGTTTTGTGCAATTTTTCATGCAGGGGCTGACGATGACGAGGAATTCTGCCTGTAGTGGGTATGCGCCACATTTACCCTATTGAAAATCCTGGGTTGGTGGATGCTGGAATTGTTGGTGGATATTGTGGAAAGAATTGTGGATATGGCGGAAATATTGGTAGATATGGTGGACACTGTAGTGGGCATAATGGCTGATGACGGCGAGAGTGGAAAAAATGATGGCCGATGGTGGTGGTGGTGATGGCGAACCAATGGTGGTGACGGTAGAAAATGGTAACTGATGACAGCTAGAGTGGAAAAATTGGTGGGAGATGGTTGTGGTGGGAGAGAGACAATAGTGGTGACAGTGGGAAATGCCAGCTGATGGTGGGGAGGCAAAACGTGTTTGGTGGAAGGCTTTGTGAGCAAGGTGGATGACAATGGCGTGATGGAAGCTTGGTGGATGATGGTGGCACGATGAAAAAGCACATGACAGTATGTGAAATCACAAATTTGTAACGTTTCATTCTTGAATGCGCAGAGATATATGTTTACGCTCAAAAGAAACCAACGCTGCTCATTACGTTTTCTAGCATGTTTATTTTTTATTCATGTGGTGTCAGTAACGCTTCAATTTTTGTGAAGCGTAGAATATGCGGCCGTGAATATGTTTACATTTCGCGCACGTACTTACATCAGTTTGACATCCGCGATGTGTTTCCTTTGTGATGTTTAGAAGACTATAGGTGTCACTGTGAACAGGGACAATAAATGTTTTGCATCGGCGTGCAGTTGTCGAGAAATAAACGAGCTCAAGTTCGCAATTGCCCCTTTCAATGTTAGAGCAGAACACAGTAGTCACTTGATGTTGCTACGCTAGAAACGCAACTCCAGTAATTCTTGCACACTCTATTGCTTGAGCCGTACTTTTAAGTTAACAAAGTGCGTGCGAATATGCATAAACTTTCACTTTCGACATGCGTCGAGACGAGCCCCAACAAATTTGACTTTCACCCTTCTGTTCTACCACCATGATTTCCACCAAAGGTTAGTCCTACCGACTGAGCCTGTACAAGTGTTATCGGCGCTTCTGGGTTTCAGAATACACAATTTTGACAAGTAAAAATGACAATACAGCACAGCTGTGGCATAATTTACTGAAATTAAGCGTTTTTTTGTGAATGGTGTCCGCACAAGAAGCGACAAACATCAATGCGATGGGCTTGCAGCACTTCCACCAAATGTACGCCTCCCCTACACCCACTGGTCGCACTCATCGGCACTTCGCTGGCACTTATGCGAGAACACAGACTCGTCAATTCGTATGCTTACTGAACCAATATGATAGCATAATGTTTCTGGCACGCTGCATTCGTTTTGGCCAAGTCGTTATAGTTGTTCCTAACGGCAGAGCAACAGCGGTGTGCTGGAACGATTGCGCTGTGCGTTGCGCGAAAAACATCACAATCAATTGTGTGGACGTATCTACCGAATGAGCATAGAAGCGTCATAAAGCCTAAACGGATATCGCCCTTTGGAAGGAACGAGAAACGAATATTGACTTGGCAGTAACCACCGATAAACTCTACCTGCTCTTCAGTTAACTGAGTTGTTTTTTTTTCTCTTGCAGTTATAAATTGTAACGAAATGATAGCACCGTTGCCATTATCGCAGTGGCAATCGTTACAGGCAGCAGTTGTTCGTGTTTATCAAATGTGCAAATTTACGTAGCAGGTGCAGATCGCGTTCATCTCAATTAAGCGAAAAACAAACCTGAAGGTAAACAGTGAACTTGTGAGTTGACTACTTCTTTAATATCCAAGCTGCCATCTGTCGGTGTGGCGCAGTGGTTAGTGCGCAAGTTGGAAATCCAAAGGTAGCAAGTTCGATTTCGCGCTGTCGCATCTTTTTTTTTTTGTTCACGGGTGCTTTCTACACCATTTTTATACAATTACTTTTGATTATTTCGTTAGTGGCAGCTTGTCACGGTAGTTCTGACGCTACTTCGCGCTCCAGCATTGCCGGTTGGTGCACACCACCCACCATCCGCTCCACCAGTACACCCGCATTCATGACCATGTGCCACCAACATTTCCAGCACCACAATCTGCCAAAGTGGTGGATGGTGGAATCCACCATTCGTACGGTGGACGTTTTTTCAATATGATAATACGCGACCACGAACAAGTTCTCTAATGTGTTAGAGCATGGGACGACCGACTCGTCACTAAATTAGCACTGTGTGATGTCTGGTTGGTCCGTTGATATTATAAACGCTTTGTTACTCATATTAACGCGATTCCTTTCCCAACGTCAAACCTCCCTAAGGTCAGTTTATCAACGATTTCCTAGCGCTGGCATGGCTCAGTGGTAGAATACTGGGCAGGCACGCAGTGGATTCGGGTTCAAATCCCACTGTGTCCTTAATGCTTTTTTTTATTTACTGTCTATTTTACAGTGAAAGCTGTTATGATATCACAACTTGGGTCACGCGCAGTTGTCCACCGCTGGTGTCCGTAACCACACCGCGCGATAATGTAAAAAAAAACCTAGCCCCAAGGACACAGTGAGGCTCGTCGAAACCCGGGTCCGCTGGGTGCAGCCCAGTATTCTACCACTGAGCTACGCTGGTGCTTGTGACTTGTTGGCAAACTGGCCTTAGGCAGGCTTGATGTAGGGAAAGCAATCTTGTTATCATGATTTATAAAGTGTTTTAAAACAGCAAAAGAACAACCAGTCGTCGCACAATGTGAATAGCGTAACGAGTGAGCCGTACAATGCTCCAACCCATTACAAAAGCTTGTAATTGTTCCCCTATTAACTGTGGCGCATACCCATTTCAGCCATACTTCCTCATCGTAGTCAGCCACTGCATGAACAATTGGCTCGAAATTCCTTGCAAGTGTTTAGCGGATACTACGCTATTCAAAAAAAAAATGACGAAAAACAGCACAGCGAATGCCGGCCTACTACCGAAAACTTTATTATTAATGCCCTAGTTGGTACAAAGCAAGTGTGCTTTGGGTAGTTACCCGATGAGTGTCTTGAAAAGGCTCTGAAAGGCTGCTATTCAAGCTTTCACTGTGACTGTGCTGCACTTTCCGCGCAGGCCTGGCGTTTTTTTTTCTTGTTTCGTGTGATAGTGGTTACGGACACTGGCGGTGATGTCGGAGGCGGCGGACAACTATGGCGCTGCGCTTGACCTGTGTTGTCATCTCATAACAGTTTCCCATATAAAGCGCTTGTCCAGAACGTTGAATCCATGCACTATTATATTCCCTTCTGGTGCCAGAGGTACTAAAAGGAAATGAACAGGCATAAAGAACTAATAGTACCGGAAATACCGGACCAATCAGCACCAACAAGAGAAAGAATGGAAATCCGTAGTCCGCATCAACGATGTTGAAACCACCACCAGCTTCTTTAATGCAGCCGTTAGCGTCCATTACGTTTCTCATTTCTTTTTTATTTGTTCGTCAATGACTTTCAAGTGTACCCTGTAAAGCGTGCTTTGCTTTGTGCTTAGCTACATGCAACGAAGCTCACTTTAAAAGAAAACTGGACATTTATGCATTGCAGGGAAAATGATAAACGTCGGGAGCTTATTTTAGGCTATCGAGAAACAATTACTGTAATTTCGTCGCACGTGTTTCTGAAAAGAAAATTACTTTCGTAGAGTACGAAAAGGGTACTTGCGTACCAGTTGTACGTTGGAAGTCGTTAGATAATTAGTATGAGAAATGATTGTCTTCACACACACGCACGCACGCACAAAAGCAACAAAGGGAACAGTAGGTAAACGAGACAAATATATCAAAGCTAGGTCGTTATCGGGTCGCGAGTTACGGAGCTTAATTCTCAAGACGTGGAAAAAAAGTTCTTTCTTACGTACG